GGTATCAGGAGTAATGAAGCCTATGACTCCCACCTTTACATCCTTTACGGTTAGGATTGTGGATTTTCCAAGCTTGGACGATGCGACGTCGGGTTCTCCTTTTGGATCAAGGTTGCAGGCCAAAATGGGAAAGGAGGCCCCGTTTAAATACGGCACTAACCCAACAATGTTTCTATCGAACTCATGGTTACCCAGGGACTAAAATTGGGGATATGTCAATAAACAAAGGAAATACAATATCATTCGCAACATACAGCAGCCTCTGGAGCCAGTTTGTTCATAAAAGCCGTGACAATCTCGTGCTTGAAAAGGGTAAACCAGGCCGTTCCAGTATAGGTATCTCCACCATTTAGAAATATCACAGGTAAGCCGCCACTCTCAGCTTCTTTTCGATGCTTGCGAACTCTAAAAAAAAACATACCTTTTTAATATGGGATTTTTTATGGATTATTCACCCTTCACCCACTGATAAGCCACTCTGGCGAATCCTCCACAGCACTTATTCTTTTTGGCATCTTCCTTGGAACAGGTGCCGCTCCTAAAGTTCGTCTGCTCGAATCTGGCGTGCATGTCATTGGTATGCAGGATAATGAATTCAAATTGAGTTTGACGCTTTTCGATCGCATGATACTTGATAAACGAAAAATTTTCACACCACCCACCAACAGCCAAAAAGGTGACAAAAGCGACGACTATAATTAATTTCCACATTATTACAAGTAATATTTATTTCTTCGAATTTTTAGGTATAAAAATGTTTCTGAAAAATTTACATTAGAGCTATGAAAAGTTGTGCTGTATTCTGAAAGTTATTGAATATATTTTTTTAACTTCATTTCTGACATGAATTTCATTTCTTAGATACTTAGATTTTTCTTAGATTTATTTTGGAAATATAGAGCTTTGTATTTTACCAAAAAATCAAAAAACTTTAGTACTATCCTTTATAGAGATCATAATCTACTCCTCTATTATAACTTTGTAAAAGGTATTCTTGGGCAATAGGTAATCGGAAAACCGAGCCTTGTCCAAATAGTAGAGTACAAAAATGTGAAAAATTTATTGAAACTGAAAATAGCTACAAAAATTCCTAAACCATCTACGAGAAACTAACACAATTTTGTTAGCAAGTATGAAAGGACTATTATGTTGATAGAAACCACAATTCCAGATGGTTGTCCAGAATCGCGGTTCTTATCAGAAATGCGTCCCTCAATCTCCGGATAGATAATATTGCATCGTCTCGCAATATTATCTATCCGGGATAGATAATATTATATCTTTTTCATACATTTTTATATGTGTGAAGTGGCCAATTGAAATAAACCAAAAGTTAATTATAAATCACTGTGGAAACGCAACGAAATGAAGGCAAAAAACTATTCCAAAAATAATTACCTCTTCAAAACGCAAAAGTCAAATGAACTAAATATGTATGTTACAAAAAAATAAATAAAATAAATTTTTATTATTTATATTTAAGTTATATTTGATTAACACTGTTAAAGAGTTTTGAGCATTCCTTTGTTAAAGTGGTTTACAAAACCAGAGAGATTTGAGGAAAATCGAATTTGAGTTAAAATATTGAATATTGGGAATTTTAATTAAAGAAATCTAGGTTAGGTCTAGGATCTAGAATCTAGGATCTAGGAGAAAGGTTAGCACAAGTATAGTAGCAGGAAGGATATAAGTACAAGCAAGCCAAAAGAGCTTCCTGCCATGGAAACTCCGACATTACTTTGCATAATTGTTATTCGACCCTCCAATTTTGGGTATACAATTTGTTGCATCTTTAGATAATTTATAAGGCACTGAATGTCATTCACAGAGAGGCGCTCGATATGGGGATTATCATCATCGTTTAGATCATATCCATCGCCTCCTTCCAGAGCGTATTGTATAACAATCACTTGGTACATGGCATCCTCTTTAATGGATTCGTAGACCGGCACCGAGCAGGCTGAGCACCGCGCCCTGGCTGAAATCACTCGATGCCCGTCTGGTTTGTTAAAGTCGTAAACTACTTTTAATCCAGACATTTGAAGAAACCCTCCACTCGAGTCTCGAAGCCAGGTTCGGGCTGAATGCTCCAAAGCAGCCAAAAGTTTCTTTCCACTGATTCTGGTCATCAGCACCTCGTTTTCAAATGGGAGAACCATCCACAATGTGGCGCCATTTATGGTTTTGTCTGCTACCTTTTCAATTGAAGCTCTTATTCCTTCAAAAAGTTGTGGATAATTTATTTTCAATAAAAGTATAACGATTACCTCCTCCTTGAATCAAGGCAATAGGTGAGTCTGTCCAGTGTTTTCCTTTATTTTCCCGCAATCGAGCATTCACCATGGCATCAGACATCAAATTCCCCAGATTGCATTCTCGTCTTCGGCAAATGCGTTCCCCCTCGAGGAATACATTGGTTTTTCCATATATGGTCCTTTCCAACTCCTCGATCTTGGGGCGATACTGCTGAAGTAACTCAAGCATATCTTTTTCCTGAGGGATATCGGGTCCCAGCAATATCGGAGCGCCACTGAAGGACTTGAGATTGCCATTGGAATCAAACTGAAAATCGAGTGTAAGATATAAATAAAGTTTGAGTATTACAAACCTCTTACCTTCACTTTCAGTTTGCCAATGTATTTGGTAAAAGCATAAGCCTGCACCACTGGCACCCTTTGTCCATTATTCCGGACCACAACGGTGGGGTAGGGACCCCGGACCGCTTCCGGGTTACTATCGCTCTCATCCGCCACCGGCTTATTGGCATCCAGATAAGAGTGCGTATGACCACCAACAACCACATCCACGTCGGGGCAACGTCTGGCAATTTCCTGATCCTTTTTGTAGCCAGAATGACCCAAAGCAATAATAATTTTGACACCCTGAGCCGTAAGTTTCTTAGCTTCCGCACTGAAAATAAAATTATGTTTTTTCAAATATACATTTTAATAATACCTACTTAATGGAAGAAATCTCATCGTTGAAAACCAGTTTATTTCTGGAGGCCAAGAATCCGGTATCAGGAGTAATGAAGCCTATGACTCCCACCTTTACATCCTTTACGGTTAGGATTGTGGATTTTCCAAGCTTGGACGATGCGACGTCGGGTTCTCCTTTTGGATCAAGGTTGCAGGCCAAAATGGGAAAGGAGGCCCCGTTTAAATACGGCACTAACCCAACAATGTTTCTATCGAACTCATGGTTACCCAGGGACTAAAATTGGGGATATGTCAATAAACAAAGGAAATACAATATCATTCGCAACATACAGCAGCCTCTGGAGCCAGTTTGTTCATAAAAGCCGTGACAATCTCGTGCTTGAAAAGGGTAAACCAGGCCGTTCCAGTATAGGTATCTCCACCATTTAGAAATATCACGGGTAAGCCGCCACTCTCAGCTTCTTTTCGATGCTTGCGAACTCTAAAAAAAAACATACCTTTTTAATATGGGATTTTTTATGGATTATTCACCCTTCACCCACTGGTAAGCCACTCTGGCGAATCCTCCACAGCACTTATTCTTTTTGGCATCTTCCTTGGAACAGGTGCCGCTCCTAAAGCTCGTCTGCTCGAATCTGGCGTGCATGTCATTGGTATGCAGGATAATAAATTCAAATTGAGTTTGACGCTTTTCGATCGCATGATACTTGATAAACGAAAAATTTTCACACCAACCACCAACAGCCAAAAAGGTGACAAAAGCGACGACTATAATTAATTTCCACATTATTACAAGTAACATTTATTTCTTCGAATTTTTAGGTATAAAAATGTTTCTGAAAAATTTACATTAGAGCTATGAAAAGTTGGGCTGTATTCTAAAAGTTATTGAATATATTTCGTTAACGTCATATCTGACATGAATTTCATTTTCTTAGATACTTAGATTTTTCTTAGATTTAGTTTGGAAATATAGAGCTTTGTATTTTACCAAAAAATCAAAAAACTTTGGTACTATCCTTTATAGAGATTATAATCTACTCCTCTATTATAACTTTGTAAAAGGTATTCTTGGGCAATAGGTAATCGGAAAACCGAGCCTTGTCCAAATAGTAGAGTACAAAAATGTGAAAAATTTATTGAAACTGAGAATAGCTACAAAAATTCCTACACCCGGATTCCATCCCGGATAGATAATATTATATATTTCGCATACATTTTTATATGTGTGAAGTGGCCAATTGAAATAAACCAAAAGGTAATTATAAATCACTGTGGAAACGCAACGAAATGAAGGCAAAAAACTATGCCAAAAATAATTACCTCTTCAAAACGCAAAAGTCAAATGAACTAAATATGTATGTTACAAAAAAATAAATAAAATAAATTTTAATTATTGATATTTAAGTTATATTTGTTCAAGCATTGAACACTATTTTTTATAGAAATTCTTAAGTTAGAGTTTCAAGGGATCGGACCCATGAAATATGAGTCAAACAGATGGTTCAAAGCCGATCCCCTGCAGCCTAACACAAACACATACATAAGTGGTGCGCTTATCGCACTTGAGAAAGGGTCGCATAGCAGGTCAGCGTGCAGTGCGTTGACAAGTAGTTTTACATAGATTTAAGAATTTCATATATCGTACTTATAAGAGAATTGAACCAAATAAAATCAGTTTCCATAAGGAGCTCATTGGAGTAAGACCTATTTATTTAGGGCTCCTCTTAACATTTGGTCCTTCGAGCCGGATCCTCTGTTGTTTCCCCCCAAGCGGTAAGGGACACAGAACAAGAGTTTTTAAACGGAACTCATTGGAGAAAGACCTATTTATTTAGGGCTCCTCTTAACATTTGGTCCTTCGAGCCGGATCCTCTGTTGTTTCCCCCCAAGTGGTAAGGGACACAGAACAAGAGTTTTTAAACGGAACTCATTGGAGTAAGACCTATTTATTTAGGGCTCCTCTTAACATATTTGATTAACACTGTTAAAGAGTTTTGAGCATTCCTTTGTTAAAGTGGTTTACAAAACCAGAGAGATTTGAGGAAAATCGAATTTGAGTTAAAATATTGAATATTGGGAATTTTAATTAAAGAAATCTAGGTTAGGTCTAGGATCTAGAATCTAGGATCTAGGAGAAAGGTTAGCACAAGTATAGTAGCAGGAAGGATATAAGTACAAGCAAGCCAAAAGAGCTTCCTGCCATGGAAACTCCGACATTACTTTGCATAATCGTTATTCGACCCTCCAATTTTGGGTATACAATTTGTTGCATCTTTAGATAATTTATGAGGCACTGAATGTCATTCACAGAGAGGCGCTCGTTATGGGGATTATCATCATCGTTTAGATCATATCCATCGCCTCCTTCCAGAGCGTATTGTATAACAATCACTTGGTACATGGCATCCTCTTTAATGGATTCGTAGACCGGCACCGAGCAGGCTGAGCACCGCGCCCTGGCTGAAATCACTCGATGCCCGTCTGGTTTGTTAAAGTCGTAAACTACTTTTAATCCAGACATTTGAAGAAACCCTCCACTCGAGTCTCGAAGCCAGGTTCGGGCTGAATGCTCCAAAGCAGCCAAAAGTTTCTTTCCACTGATTCTGGTCATCAGCAGCTCGTTTTCAAATGGGAGAACCATCCACAATGTGGCGCCATTTATGGTTTTGTCTGCTACCTTTTCAATTGAAGCTCTTATTCCTTCAAAAAGTTGTGGATAATTTATTTTCAATAAAAGTATAACGATTACCTCCTCCTTGAATCAAGGCAATAGGTGAGTCTGTCCAGTGTTTTCCTTTATTTTCCCGCAATCGAGCATTCACCATGGCATCAGACATCAAATTCCCCAGATTGCATTCTCGTCTTCGGCAAATGCGTTCCCCCTCGAGGAATACATTGGTTTTTCCATATATGGTCCTTTCCAACTCCTCGATCTTGGGGCGATACTGCTGAAGTAACTCAAGCATATCTTTTTCCTGAGGGATATCGGGTCCCAGCAATATCGGAGCGCCACTGAAGGACTTGAGATTGCCATTGGAATCAAACTGAAAATCGAGTGTAAGATATAAATAAAGTTTGAGTATTACAAACCTCTTACCTTCACTTTCAGTTTGCCAATGTATTTGGTAAAAGCATAAGCCTGCACCACTGGCACCCTTTGTCCATTATTCCGGACCACAACGGTGGGGTAGGGACCCCGGACCGCTTCCGGGTTACTATCGCTCTCATCCGCCACCGGCTTATTGGCATCCAGATAAGAGTGCGTATGACCACCAACAACCACATCCACGTCGGGGCAACGTCTGGCAATTTCCTGATCCTTTTTGTAGCCAGAATGACCCAAAGCAATAATAATTTTGACACCCTGAGCCGTAAGTTTCTTAGCTTCCGCACTGAAAATAAAATTATGTTTTTTCAAATATACATTTTAATAATACCTACTTAATGGAAGAAATCTCATCGTTGAAAACCAGTTTATTTCTGGAGGCCAAGAATCCGGTATCAGGAGTAATGAAGCCTATGACTCCCACCTTTACATCCTTTACGGTTAGGATTGTGGATTTTTTAAGCTTGGACGATGCGAGGTCGGGTTCTCCTTTTGGATCAAGGTTGCAGGACAAAATGGGAAAGGAGGCCCCGTTCAAATACGGCACTAACCCAACAACGTTTTTATCGAACTCATGGTTACCCAGGGACTAAAATTGGGGATATGTCTATGAACATAACAAAGGAAATACAATGCTATTCGCAACATACAGCAGCCTCTGGAGCCAGTTTGTTCATAAAAGCCGTGACAATCTCGTGCTTGAAAAGGGTAAAATAGGCCGTTCCAGTATAGGTATCTCCACCATTTAAAAATATCACAGGTAAGCCGCCACTCTCAGCTTCTTTCCGATGCTTTCGAACTCTAAAAAAAAACATACCTCTTGAATGTGGGATTTTTTATGGATTATTGACACTTCACCCACTGGTAAGCCACTCTGGCGAATCCCCCACAGCACTTATTCTTTTTGGCATCTTCCTTGGAACAGGTGCCGCTCCTAAAGCTCGTCTGCTCGAATCTGGCGTGCATGTCATTGGTATGCAGGATAATGAATTCAAATTGAGTTTGACGCTTTTCGATCGCATGATACTTGATAAACGAAAAATTTTCACACCACCCACCAACAGCCAAAAAGGTGACAAAAGCGACTACTATAATCAATTTCCACATTATGAAAAGCTATGAAAAGTTGGGCTGTATTCTAAAAGTTATTGAATATATTTCGTTAACGTCATATCTGACATGAATTTCATTTTTTTAGACACTTTTATTTTGCAAATATGGAGCTTTACAATTTACCAAAAAATCAAAAAAAATTGGTATTATCCTTTATAGAGATCCTTTATATCCTTATCCTTTATAAAGGGTATTCTTTGGCTGTAGGTAATCGGAAAACAGAGCCTTGTCCAAAATAGTAGAGTACAAAAATGTTAAATATTTATTGAAACTGAGAATAGCTACAAAAATCCCTACACCATCTACGAGAAACTAACACAATTTTGTTAGCAAGTATGAAAGGACTATTATGTTCATAGAAACCACAATTCCAGATTGTTGTCCAGAATCGCGGTTCTTATCAGAAATGCGTCCCTCGATCTCCGGATAGATAATATTGCATCGTTTTACGTACTCCATGGCGGCCTTCCTATTATTCCAACGCATTTTCTTTGGTTTCGAAATATTATATTGACCAAGATCGTGTCCTTCGCCGCCTTTTAGGAGAGAATATGGAACTATCACGCTGTAGATGTCAGTTTGGTGGAGAGGTGCAAAGGCGGGCACTTCGCATTTGGTGCACAAGGCTCCTACAAATTCCACTCTGCTGGTCCTTGGTCCCCTGAAGTTGCACTCCACTATCAGGCCAGACACCTGAAGGAATCCTCCCTCATCCGACTTTAGCCTCGCTTCGGCCGAATGCTCTAGGGTTGCCCAAAGGTTTTTTCCACTCATCTGGATGACCATCAGATCGTCCACCACTGGCAACACACTATTGATGGCGTCGTCACTAATGGCTCCACTGGATATAGAACCTTGTATGGCTAGCGGCAAGTGGGTTTAATATGGAGAGTATGGAGAGTATAATCCTTGGCATCTTGAACTCACCTCCTGCGTGTAACAAGGCGATGGATGCATCCGTCCAGTAACTTCCCGCCTTGTCCTCCAACATCCGAGCATAGACCATGGCGTCCGTCAGGAAATTACCCAAAAGGCACTCTTCCTCCTGGCAAGTATTCCCTTTCAGAAGTAACTTGCTACTGGCAGGTGATGAAGCATTGCCCTCCCGTCTAAAACGATGTTGTTCTACAAAAGTAAGCTGTTTTTCCTCCCGGAGTTCAAGTAAATTGGGTTCTGCTTTAAAATCTTTAAGATTGCCAAAAGTATCGAACTGAAAGAAAGGGTTGAGATTAAGAAGTTTATATTATGTTACCATTACCTTCACTTGAATTTTGGCCAGAAATTTCGAACAGAAATATGTTTTCACCGACGGAACTTGTTTGCCACTCTTTTTAACCACTGTAATGGTTTCAGCTCTTAGAATTAGGTCCACCTCTGGACAAAGTCTGGCTATATCCTTATCGATTTGGTAATCCACAATACCCAAAGCAATTATAATATTTATGCCCTGAGCCTGCAGTTTCTCAGCCTCGGATCTAGGAAGTTATTTTTTATAAATAAAGTTATTATCCTTTTTAAAAACAAAAAAACAAATGTTACAAACTTTATGAAATCGATGTCATTTTCGTATTTTCCGGTATTACTAAGGTTATAAGTTCCGATCACACCCATCTTGAAACCTTTATCTTCCAAAATTCTAGACTTTGCCTCACCAGCATGAAGGTTAAAAACAGGAATTCCATTTTCCTGTGACTCCCTAATATATAATATATATCCTTACCCTTAATATCCTTAAATAATATACACAACTTACAATAACGACGGCCACGCTAAAACTTTGGATGCATTGTTACAGGAATGGTTAAGAGCGGATCCGGAACTGAATGGTCCATTTCCGTTATACAGGATAATGAACTCGATGTCCTTTAGATTTAGATAAACTTCTGGCACAACTATTGCCAAAATAAAGATGAATGTTATATGTACGCCACGCTTCATAAACATTTTAGTGATAGATACTTAACTAAACACTAAAATTAGCTTAACATTTTGTTAAGATACCGAATAATTTAGAAAAACATCACTACATTTGTAAGAAGAAACAAATGTGTGTAAATATGAGGAACTAGTGTCTTCTTTTAACTGATTTATTTTTAACTGACAAATATTTCAATCAAACATGTTTACAAATTTTTCCCAAAAGAAAGGTTGAGAAACATATATTTTTTAACTATTTGCCGCCAAAAGCCTAGCCCAAGTTCTTAGGAAAACAGTAAACATATTTACAAGCAATTTAAAACTTTATTCTTTGAACATTTTTTTATAGTGGGAAAACAAATAGAAAATTATACATTATGTTAAATTAATAATTTGTCTTCTTAGACAATCCTTATAAGAAAAGCGAAGATCAAGATCCAAGTAAGGGAAACCAATATTCCTGAAGATGAATTTATGTTTTCTTCATAGTTTATAAATCGTTCTCCCATTTTGGCATAAATCCTTTTTTCCAGCTCTTCGGTTTTGGGACGGTATTGTTCGACTAATTCCAGAATCTCGGGTTCCTGAGAGATATTGGGACCCAACAGGATTGGAGAGCCACTGAACTCGAGGATATTCCCCTTCTCATCGAACTATAAAATGGAAAGGAATATAATTATGTGAATCGGATACTTTTTTTTTTTTAAAAAACCTACCTTTACACGAAGGAAGCCCATGTATTTGGTAAAAGCATATACTTGAACCACAGGAACTTTTTTTCCACTGTCCTGCACTACGGTAGTGGGGTAAGGACCTCGCACTGCCTCGGGATTGGTATCAGTGAGATGTGCTACCGGCTTATTAGCATCCAAGTAAGTATGCGAATGTCCTCCAACTACAATGTCCACTTCAGGGCAATCCTTGGCTATTTTCATATCCTTCTCATAACCGGAATGACCCAAGGCAATGATTATATTAATGCCATCTTCCTTGAGTCTTTTAGCTTCTGCGCTGTTGGAGAATTTTTAATAATTTAATATCATTTTCTTAAAAAAATACTTACTTAATAGAAGAAACTTCTTCTAAGAATTTCACAGAACTACGGGGTGTCCAGAATTGAGTATCAGGGGTAACATAGCCAATCACACCAACCTTAACCCCATTAACATTCAAAATGGCGGACTTGGCTAGTTGTTGAGAGGCGGCCATTTCCGGTTCCTCACTCACATCGAGGTTACAGGCCACAATGGGGAATTTGGCGGCATTCAGGAAAGGCACAAGACCTTTAATATTATGATCGAATTCATGGTTGCCCAGGCACTAGAAAGGTTTATTTTAAAATATATATATTAAAACTGAAATAATATATTATAAAACGTACAATTGCATCTGGCGATAGCTTGTTGAGAAAATCGCTAACAATTTTGTGTCTGTGAATTGTAAACCAGGATTTTCCAGAGTAAGTATCTCCGGCATTCAAATAAATAACCGGAGTTCCTCCAGCTTCAGCATCTTTACGGTATTTTCCAACACTGGAAATATAGAAGTACCATATGAAAAGGGATTTATTGGTAAATTATTAATCACCCACATATGAGCCACTCTGGCGAAACCTCCATAGCATTTATTTCGACGAGCATCCTCCGAGAGGCAATTTCCACATCTTGCGTTTGTCTGCTCGAATCTAGAGTGCATATCATTATTGTGCAGGATAATGAATTCAATGTCCTTTTGCAACTCTGGTTCTAGACGAACTTCTGGCACAAATATTGCCAAAAAGCATAAAGCCACAATCATATAATTTATTTTACAAAACCTTTTCATGATGACAAGTTAAGGGATACAAAGTCTAATTTCAAAGATTGACATTTCAGGGTTATAGTTCCAAGTTTTCAGATATCTAGAGCACAAAAGCTTAATCTTATTTGGTTAGTTTTGTTTTTAAACCTACTAACTGAATAATAAAAAAGCTTACGTTTTTAAAACAACATTTATTGGCCATATGGTTTACATCATTTCGTGCATTGGCTAACCCCATTAATAAGTAATTTTAGGGAAAACTAAAAAGCAACCAGACTTCCCTAATTAAAAAGTACTTCAACTGATTGCACTGCAGGAGGAACACAGCTCCGTCTACATTCTTCTACACTCTAATGGATAAATCTCAACTTCTGATGTTTAGAAGAACCTAGTCAGCAGGGAAGAGACCAGGAGCAGGGTTACAGAAGCCACGATTCCGGAAGCTGAACCCGTGTCGGCCTTTTCCCGGATCACAATCCGCTCCTCGATCTCTGGATAGACATAGTGACGCTGCTTGAGGTACTCCATGGTGGAATTGAGATCATTCCGCAGCAGACGTTCGGTGAAGCCATCGGATGCTTCGGTGAAGTTGAACCCATCGCCTCCTTCCAACAGGAAAGAGGGTATGATTATTTTGTAGAGGGCCGTCTCGTTGATGTTCTTGTAGGCGGGAACAGCGCAATCGGCGCAGAGGGCCTGGGCGGAGACCACTCGCTTTCCAACAGCATTGTTGAAGTTGTATACGGTTTTAAGGCCCGACATCTGCAGGAACCCGCCATTGGAGTCCTGTTCCCAAACAACTGCCGAATGCTCCAGAGCAGCAAGAAGCGTTGATCCAAGAATCTGGGTTACAAACAGATCGTTATCGAAGGGAAGGACGGTCAGCAGGGAGCTGCCAGTGATGGTTCCATTGCTTCCCTTCTCAATGGATGCCCGAATACCTCCTCCCTGCATCAAGGCAATGGCAGCATCCGTCCAGTATTCGCCTCCCTTGTTCTCCAGAACTCGAGAAAAGATCATGGCATCGGTGATCAGATTGCCGAGGTTGCATTCCCTCATCCGACAGATGTTTCCGCCCTCAAGGAACACCTTGGTGTAGCCATAAACTGTTTTTTCCAACTCCTCCACGCCAGGACGGTATTCCTCCAACAAGTTCAGCAGTTCCTGGTCCTGAGCCACGGAAGCATTCAGAAGGATCGGGGCACCATCGAACTCGATGAGATTGCCAGCGGCATCAAACTAAAGAATTGGGAAACTTTTAGATACTTTTCAGGATAGTTCAGGACAACCCTTACCTGCACATGAATCTTGCCCAGATATTTGGTGTAAGCATAGGCCTGCACCACCGGCACCTTCTTGCCACTGTCCTGAACCACTGTGGTGGGATAGGGACCTCGCACCGCCTCGGGATTGGTATCAGTGGGATCGGCCACAGGCTGACTGGCGTCCAGGAAAGTATGCGAATGTCCACCAATCACAATGTCCACCTCTGGGCAGTTCTTGGCAATCTCCTGATCCTTCAGGTAGCCAGAGTGACCCAAAGCAATGATGATATTAATGCCTTGGGCCTTTAATTTTTCAGCTTCAGCACTTTGGAAATAATAATAACAATGTTAAGAGATAAGAGAGATTATTATTATAAGAAACACTCACTTGATGGAAACAATCTCTTCGTTGTATTCCACATTGTTTCTTTCTGCCAAGGTTTTGGTGTCCGGGGTCAGGTAACCAATCACGCCAATCTTGACCCCATTAGTCTCCAAAACAGTGGAGTTGACCAGTTGTTTGGCGGCCAATAGTTCGGGCTCCTTGGTCAGATTCAGATTACAGGCCAGTACGGGGAAGGAGACATTATTTAGGAAGGGAACCAGACCAGCAACATTCTCATCGAACTCATGATTGCCCAGGGACTAAAGGGTTTTAAAAAATAATTCTTTAATTTTAGAAATTTTAAAATAAAGATTAAACTCACAATGGCATCTGGAGACAACATGTTGAGGAAAGCACTGGCAATCTTGTCCTTGAAGATGGTAAACCACGCAGTTCCAGTGTAAGTATCTCCAGCATTTAGATAAAAGACTGGAGTGCCGCCCTCCTGAGCTTCCTTGCGATACTTTCGAACCCTGAAAGTGAAGAATACAATCAAGTTATGGCCCAAAGTGGGAAAGATTGTGAAACCCACTCGTAGGCCACTCGGGCAAAGCCTCCATAGCACTGATTCGTGTTGGCATCCTCCTCGGAGCAGGTGCCACTGTTCACGTTGGTCTGCTCGAATCGGGCGTGCATGTCATTGTTGTGGAGGATAATGAATTCGGTGGCCACCTCGGCTCGGGGCGCAATGGGATTGGGATGAACTGGCGGCAGAATAAGAGCCACAAGCAGAAAGCCAGTGGCAATGATGAGACTCCGGGCGGATGACATTTTGGAGCTGCAATTTAATTAATTTTATCGCCGATAAGTTATCACAGACAAATAAAGCTGAAATATCTATTAATCAAGTTGGTGTAGACTGAGAGAGAAGACTGCAGTCATTTTCATAATTCTGTAAACACTTGGCCTCTTGAAAATCCACCTGTTTGAAGGTCCTTCCGCTCAACTATCAATCACTAGCTGTGGGAGATCGCAATTCAAGTCATTTGTAGTTTATTGGGAACCCTAAATCTAATCGCCTCGCTTATCGGTCTGCGTGTGCGAAAAAACACAATCCCCACAATCTTCACAATCCCCAGGCAGGCAGGCCCATTCAACTCAACAGCTTTATTTTCTGATGACTTTGAGCTAAAATCCGCTTGAAATTCACTCGACTGGCTGTCGGCTCAGTTAACTGGTTTCCGATTAAACTCGGAATTGAAGTTGAGATCGGCATTGGACCGGAAAGCTTTTGTAGCTTGAAAGTCAGAGCCACAAACAAACAGAAATCACATAACCCGAATAATAACTCTGCTATCCATCGATCGATCGATCGAAGAAGTACCGAACCGGACAACGAACATCGACAAAAAATTCGTTGATGAAATCGCTGACTACTTACATGCACTCGTCGCACGATCCGCGGACTAACTGACCCATCAATATGGCCGAGAGCCCGGGAACCGTTATAACCGAAAATGGTTAGCCGAGTACCGAAAACCGTCAACCGAAATTTACTGTTTCGCGATAACGCTTCGTATTGTTGGCTGAAAAAAAGACGAGCGATTTCAGCAGCGTCACTACCAATTGTTACTGCCGTGTATCATATCAAAACTGCATATATATATTTTATATATCTCTGTGGTATTTGGAAGCCATCAGTGGCAGGCTTATCGCTATACTCCATAATCGAGAGTTATAGATCAAGATAATCATAAATATATCTACCTGACTCATCAGGCTAGACTAGAGACAGGTAAAAAACACAAACACACATAATGCCGCTCTAAAAAAGCCATTAGAGCAGTTCTGGATAAGTCGGGTAACCCGATCTTTGTCATTAATTTCTCGAAAAAATTCCAGACAAGTGTTTTTTTTTTCTGCCAACTTCAAGCAAATTCCATTCACCACAATGAGTGCCGATTGTTCCAAAGTTTGTTCCACAAGCGATAAATAATATTGGAAAGAGTTGTGGGCAACAGTTTGGGTTAATTACTCCACCAGTTGCATGCAAAAATGAAAAGATTGCAATTGTTATAACCACTTCCCCCACAATTATTCCATGCCACTTGTCGCGTGCTTTTTAAACAGTTCAATCATATATAATATATAGTATAATCCATATATTCCACATATACATACACTCGCCTTTTTAGGCACAACAGCTGCGGTTGCGGATGATGTATTTACTGTCTGAGGTCGGGCGAATACTTCCAAACGTAAGGTACAACTTTCCTGCTCTCGTTGTCGCCTAAATATATCTCTCACAGATACCAGATACAAGATACAACAGCAATTGAGTCGGTTCGAAAATAAATATCGGATGCTTTTGGTAAACTTTACCTCGTAATTGAGTGTCAAAGATCCAAAATAAAAATAAATAAAAACAACTGAAGAGAACACGACATTATTACACAATGTCAAGTGCGCGATAATACCCAGATAAAAATAAAATATATGAGCCAATTATGATTTGGTTTTTATCTTCCGGAGGGCTTATCAAGAAAATGATTTTAGAAACAAGATGAAACAACATTTCAGTCAGTTGCGAAAATACCTGCTAAAAGATATCAACAGCATGATTATTTATATGTGAATTAATTAACGACAATATGCTAAGATAGTGCCAGCCCCACAGCCCCACCAAATCAATCCAATAACGCTCAATTTCCTTGACCATAAATCTATATTGATTGCCATCAATGTGCCAGACCCAAGTCGGTCACCCCGTCCAAAATATTTTCGATTTGATGTTGGATTTTTGGCAACTCCTCTGGCTTCTGATAACTATTTTTCATTATAACTAAGCACTGAGTATTTATTACATTTGCCTTTAGTCTCACTAAGAACCTGTAGTTACGGCGATAAGTAAGTAAGTAAGTACTCCCTGACAACAGACATATGTATATTTTTGCCATGTCAACGGTATCCAGTGGCAAGTTTCTCCACCATTTCTCTCAGTGTCCATAGGTGTGCACTTATCATCGGGCAACGGCAGGTCAAACTCACTCACTTACTGGAAGGGCAGCGCCGATCGAAGAGATGAATGTGAAGCGTGCCAGCTGCAAATGTTGCACAAAGATTCGGCTACGGAGTATTTGGATATACCCTACAATTACTACATGGAAAGTTCAATATTTTACTGAATTGTTTTTAAAAAAAACTTGTTTAAAAACTATAGCTAAATCAAGCTAAAATTTGTATCGTAAACATGGCTTTTTATTCAAAAAACTATCAAAACTAATAAAAATATTTTACCTTAAGCTTAACTTGTAAATAAATCTTTATTTCCTCTTTTTTTTAAATAACACCAACAATTAAAAAGCTATATAATTGTGTACATAATAAATACCATGGTAAACATGAAAATTTAAAGTGCATATGTTTTTTATTATTTTGCTAAACGAGTTTAAGGTTTTTAGCACATATTAATTCTGAAAAAAATCCCCCTAAAATAAAATATTTATTCCTATATGTAAATACCACAAAATAATTATTGCTTTTTAGCTGCTGTATATTTTATTTTACATAAAATAATACAAATTTTCTTTAAAAAATTAGTTTAAAAACAAAAAAATATTAAAAAAGATCACCAATCTGTCGTATAGGTCCTGCCAAAACAGAAAACAGCCACGGGACAACAACTGCAAAGGGCGGAAAGGGACGCCCAGGACCCAGAGGGTTGGGGGGGTCGACCGAAAATGATAGAGGATATCGGAAGGGAGGATAGTCTGCTGCGGAGCTAGTCTGCTGCAGCCGGAGAGAGAACTGAGCAGCAGCTTGCCTGGCTTGCAGGGGTTGCAATATCCTGCTGTTGCCCGTAGCCTGAGCCTGTATCCTGTTGCCCTCCCGCTTCAGCTGCCGCAACTCAAACAGCTGCAACAATTTTTTCCCCTCTGTTGTGTTTTATTTTTTTTTAATTTCCTTGGCCCGGCACATCCCCTAATGCCACTATCTCTCTGGTTCCTGCCGCATTTGTTTTGGGGTTGGAGTTGCCATCGCCAGTTGCCAGTTGCCAGTTTCCAGTTGCCGGGGTGCATTCATAGTTCAGTCGTGGCGATCGCCAGGTGAACGAAGGTTGTGTCGCGCAGAGCTGAAAATCTAAAGTCGGAACTACATTAGGAGCCATGTCGGGGAAACTGATCATGAAACGCAAACGAGCTAGCCAGGAGGAGCAGCAGCAGCAGCAACAGGGACAGGAGGTCCAGCCGCAACAACAGCAACATAGGCAGCCGGAGGATAATGTCCCAGTTCCAGAGAAACGTCATCGTCCTCTGACGCCTCCGGCTGAGGAGGAAACGGCCGGATATCAGACTCCTCCAGATGCCCCCAATCGTATCCTGCTGGAAGCCCTCCAGAAGATCATGGAGCTGCAATCCGAATTGGATGCCTTCGAGCATGATCTTGACGATAGAGACGATTACGAAGCAATCGGAGAGGATGAGGATGAGGAAGCCAGTGCTGAGGATGCGGAAGTGGCTGCACAATTCGCCCAGCCCACACCCGCCCAGCGAAGTCAGGCGGAGGCCCTGGGCTTTGCTATGTGCGCCAGGGAAACCCTGCTCTTCCTGCAAAGCGAGGGCATACCCACCGAGTCCCCACTGTACCAGACCCTGTTGGGGAAGTTGGTTAGCCAGAGCGATGGCCTACTGCAGGCCTAAGCCAGAGTGGAGGCCACGAGCCTCCTTCTGAGCCAGATTCTAGTCACCCTTTGCTGCGATCTCATTGCAAGTAAAACCCGAGAGAGAGAACTAAATAGAGTAGTCCCAGGGTTGGCCAAATTTCACCCCCTAGTGGGGTGGAAAATGTTCATCCCGGGGATCTTCGTAATCCTAAGCTGTTTATTCTAGTCAATTATTGTGAAGCAATATAAAAAGAATATAAGAATAAAATAAATTAATCAAATAAATACAAAAAAAGAAGAGTCTTTTTATTTAAAACACAATTGATTTTTGATTTCGATTTTCATATATTTTAAATATATTTATTTATTCATTTAGTTTTATTACTTGTGTTATTTGATTTTACATATAATAGTTATAATTAATGAGAATAACTCAATCGCAATATATTATTTCTTTGAATTCAGTTTTGTAGGTATGTATATAATATAAGTTGTATATATATTTATTGTTATAAGGGCGGGGGGTGTGTTGTTTGTTTGTTTGTATCTTGTTTTTTTTATGTTTATTAGTTCTTTAACTTTTTTTTATATATTTCATAAATTATTTTGGGGGCTGGAACCGCCCTAAAGATGCATTATGATTCTTCAGTATTAGTTATCATCTGTATAATTTGTAACAACAATAATTATTTGTAATAAATGGTTGTAATCCTTTGTATTATATTTATTACTGATATTCCATTAAAACTAGATTTTAATTGTTTTCAACAATTTAACATTTCACGTGGTTGTAAGTAAATGTTTTCCTTTTTCTTTTTTGGACAAGATATTCGATTTATATATTCTTATTCGAGTATTATTTATTTCATGGCGTTAGTAAAGTACAATTTATTAGCTCCAAGTAGTCCGAAATTAAGACAAATACAAAAAAAATAACATAGATAAATTGGCATTTCAATTGGTAATTTCAAATAATGGAGGCGATCTCGACGAGATCATCTTCCCACATACATTTGGCACAATTTCTTGGTTCTACTTAAGCTCTACTTTAATTTAGAAACTAATTGGGTTTAGCAGTAAACAGAAATCGAAAATTGAGCTTGGCAACTGTTTGAATTGTCGATTACAAGTCGATTATATATAATTAGGGTTTAAGTTTTTGTTAGTTAAGTATGTGTATTTAATGGAGACTCGTGGCCTCATGGGTTACAGATGGGTTAAGTACATAGAATTATGTTGTTATTCGTTTAATATTATTTAGTTACGTTATTACGTTTAATATTAACTTTGCACATGTGTATAAGTAAATCGAGTATTCTGTTTATTATTCTTAGTGGTTCGCTTTAACTCTTTGCTCTTTTATTGTTTTCGTATATTGGGTTTTAATAAAGTAATCATTTGCAGCATTATCCACTTATGGACCTTGTTTCACAATTAACTTGTATATAATAGGAGCCTACAGAGATCTCAAATGAGATCTCCCATTTGAAATGTCTGTTGTACCTCCAGTATTCTTGAATCTTCTTATTAACTTTGTAGATTGTTAGTATTTCGATATATTAGATAGTTCGAGTATTAGATAATTCTTGTTTAAGGTATTTTAAAGTTTATCTGTTACTTGTTCTCTGTTAATTATGTAAATATTAGAATTTGTAAGTGTATATAATATATATATATATATTTTTTCTTTATCTGTATTGTTAGTTTTGCCATATACGCATATATAAATAAAATTATGTTTTAAATGTGCCCTCTGTATTAATTATTATTATATATTCTATTAAGTTAATTAATCTCATAGATTTTGTCTCGATCGCATATCATCGGTTCTTGGCTACTCTCCTATACATAGCTTTGTCTTCTCTATCAGTTGGATTCGCTCTCTGTACTTCATACATTATAGTATCATATATGTATTTTTTAATGTCTGAATATATCCCCAGCCCAACTTTAAGCTGAGCCGTGTGCTTAATTACTGATTACCCCCACTATTCAGGCTCATTGAATATCTTTAAGATGTATTCTTTTTTTTGTTGTAAATAGAGATAAAAAACCGGACACAGTTTCGTACGAGTGTGTGTTTGTTGTTTTTTGTGTTTGAAGTTTGAAAGTAAAGTATTAATTTGTAGATCCAGCCTCATCTTCATTGAAGGACACTCCTTGCACGCAAAAATATATGTATAAATATATTTGTTATGTATATATGTTCATTTTTTTGTTTTGTTTGTCAATAGTCGTCGTATATATATATATTGTAAAGTTCATTTTGTCCATTTTGTAAATACTCCCTCCCCCTCCTTCCCACCTTACTTTAAATCTTATGAATTCGAATTCAAGTGTACAAAGTATTTTTGATGTGGATGTTGATGTGGATGTTGATTTTTCTTTTTTTTGCGAAAAGCTTTTCTACTTTTAGTTAGTTGTTCTGGTTGTTGTTGATGTTGTTGTTGTTACTGGTGTTGTTGTATGGCTTGGATTCAGAAAAACTGCACTGGCAAGAACGGAAATGTGCCAATATGAAGCGAAGAAGGATTAGCAGGTCTGTAAGAGAATGTTAATTGGAATTTAGAGATAGAGAGTTCTTCATGTCGTTTTTCATTTTTTTTTTCATTGCTTGACATTAGGTGTGGATATGGGTCATCGAAAACTTTCAGATCAATGCAAATTAGAAAGCAATTATTTTGATTGATAAGCGGATTTAAAAGCAAGCAGGTGGCATTGCTAGTAACTTGCATTGATCAAAGAATTCGATGGGCTTGTGGGTGTGCGCAAGGACGAAGGAGTTACTTGATTTTAACTTTAGTTTTGATCGCATTTCAATACCTTACTAATAGCATATTGGGCACTGAAGCGGTTGTTGTTGTTGTGGTGGTGTGGTTGTTATTGATGTTGTTGTTGTAATGATTTTTACTGCCTAGTGTGTGATTGTTGCTGTTGTTGGCACTCTTTTGGCCATCCATCTGGCCGACTGGATAGGAGGATAAGTATGAAACATCGTTGGATTTCTTCTCACCGATTTGGTGATAGCGACTGTGGCAATTAATATTATTATTGTTATGATTTTGGTTTTGGTTATTGGTGTTATTAATTGTGTGATTATTCATATGGTTGCTCTGGCTGCCGTTGCTGTTGTTGTGGGTTGATAGCGGTGGCGGTGGGAGATTTGGTTGCGACTGTTGTTGTTGTGGCTAAAATAAATATTTTTCAATATTTTTTAACAAGCTTGAAATCCAATTAAACTTACCTTGTTAGTGCCATTAAAGAAGTAATTTGAATTTAAGTTCTTGCCTGCTTGGCACTCACTTGCTCCTGGTCCGGGCAAGTAGTTATTGGTGCTATTGGTTTGGGATTTAATGATCAGATTCTGGTTGTTTCCTCCTGGATTACTAGCACGTCCTGCTATTCCGCTAACACAGCTCGGACCCAGCAAATTTCACCTATTAACGTGGCTGCGATTGTGATTGGAATTAAGGCCAGAGCCGCCGATTGCATTCGCTTGAGAGCCACCGCCAGTGCCCAGGCCACCGTTGCCTCCGCCACCAGCTAAAGACATAAATAATATTATTTCTGATATGTAATCACCTATATTCCCACAAACTCACCTGCATATCCAGGCGAATGCTGGTAGTAGTCTCGTCTTCCATAATCCGGCTCATAGTCCGAGCTTTCGTAATGACCACCGCGTACACCTCCACCACTGATGCCACCCATGCCGCCTAAAATGCCTGCGGGGGGACCATGTGGTCCATGACCATGACTGCCATAGGAGTAGCTGTCGTATGATTGATGTGGATCGTAGCCCAAGCCGTCATCATAGCCACGACTGCCATTAAAATAAACAAAGTAAGTAATACAAGTAGGTCTAGTTCCCGGGATAGCTAATAACTTACCCATACGTCTCATCCATGGCAGTTCTGGCTTTTTCCAGTATAGACATCACTTTTTGTTTAGGAGCTAGTACATTTTTGCTAAATGATGAGGGCTGTGAGCCTCTAAAATGTAAAGACATACATCATTTAATATTTTTAAAGATTTCTTGCTAAATAACGCACCTGTAACCATGATGAACTGTATTTTTGACTCCACCAATCGTGTTAATCGACCCACCACCCATGGCACTGTTCCCGGAGGTCACGTGTGAGGACTTCTTGTAAACACTCTTGCCATTCTCGTTCTCATTTAGACTAGTGCTGTCCATCAACTCCCGCAGCTGCTCCTGCCGAATGATGTCATTGCTGTCCGGAATCAGATACTTTCTTAGCTCCGCCATGGCATAGGCGATCCTGGCATAAGCTTCTGCTGGCGGCGCTATCGTCGATATCTCCACGTGCAGGTCGCTGTTGAGGTGTGCATACTTTGGGTCCTTGGAGCTGCGCAGCTCCTCCTCCTTAACGCGATCCCGCATAGAGTTGCGGCCCAGGACGGTCATTTTGCAAAGCGTTTCCTCCTGCAGTCGTCGCAGTGAGTTTCCCTTCGGTCCTAGTAATTTTCCGACAAAGTTGAACTATAAAGAGAGGCTTGTTAGTATCCTTTTGAATATTATTTTTGAAAACCATACCTTGGGGTGTTCTCTAATTGGCACCAGGACCCGCTGTGAGATCCGTAATGGCTTCTCTCTGTAGATATCCGCATATTTTTGCTCTCTAGATGGAATCCTTCCAGTGGTCTGGACTTTTTCTATTTCTAAAGCGCATGATATCGATTATTGAAACAAAATAGATCTTGAATCTGTAAGCTTTAATATCTTACCACCCTCTATTAACTTTTCGGCAATGGGAAACTTCCTGTCCATCCTATTCCTCTCCGCCATACAATCGCGTATATACTCATTGGCCTTCTCATTTATCTGGACACTATTGGCAGAGTCGGCTGCATGATGGCCATGATCGTGGGCAGAACTGTCGCCATTGTGAGCTCCACCGGGTGCACCGCTGGAGCCACCGACTGATTTTCGTGGCTTGCCGCCAAAATCGTTGTCATCGTCGTTGAAGGTGGAAAAGTCACCGTTACCGTCGTACTTCTCGGTCATGATGTGTTGCCCCCGGAGCGGGCGGTCGGCAAGCGGAGGAGCTGAAAGCTAAAGCTGGGAAGGCTGGCTATTACAAAATAAATTAATTAGTATTTTAAATTATATGTTTAGATTCAAATTTGGTTTAAGTTTTTTCTTTTACATTTTTCTATTTTTAAAGTGTAGTAATTAAAAACTAATATTAGTTTATTAAAATCAATTGGCGGATACCCTTTGCCTACGCTTTCTCACACTAATGCAAGTTCACACACACACACATCCATATGTATAGTACATGAGCAAAAACAACCACCATACAAAATTGGTCGAAAATCAAATTGTTGCCGTAAGACACAATATTCAAAAGCTTTTGGCAAATAAAACCGGTAAAAAAGATGCTTTTTATTTAGTTTACTTCACTAACAATAAATCACGGCTTTAGATTTGTCCACTTCACCTTCAGAATGTCCAACTGGTGATCCCCGCCACTCTGAAAGCCCTTCCTGCGCCACCCTCACTGCACTTTCACTTTTCAGTGGGACGCAGTTTTTCACCTATTTCTTTTCTGTATTTGCAAATTGCATCGGACGTTTTCTGTTGCTTCTCTCGTCCTGTGTTTAGCGGTAATTTCTCTTTTAACTGCACACTCTATTAGCTTTTGCATTGCCAACTGATTTGGTGCTGGTATTTACCACTATTTAATGGCCTTCTCGAATATTGCTTTCAATTTAAAATATGTTGCGAAAAAACTGCAATTGAACTTGCGAAAAAAACAATACCACGGGCAATGTGACCGTGCGACGAAAGCTCAAGAAAACGGGCTTACACCAAAACCAGCAAAGTTTCGCGGTTCCTCGTACAGTAAGGACCTCCATAAATGGCAAGAACAGGATATTATTAATATTAATAAATATAAAAGAAGAAGATGACGGATAAAAGAAGAAGAGGTAGTTTCCATCGCTGCAAATGAAAGAAGTTGTTTAGGTTGAAGCTTTAAATTCTTTCATTGTTTTCTCCCGAATTGTACATTTTTGTTTTAAAACCTTTTTTATTTTAAAGCTTTAAATAGTTTTTATGTTTATCAGAGCGCCAATACCTGAAAAGCTACCTGATTACCATCAAAAGTTCTTAAATTACTTTTGCCAAGAATTATTAAACAATTTTTAAAACTTTAAAAAAAAACTTTAAACTTTTTTAAGCCAAACTGGAAAACGGGAAAACATCGCTACCAGTGTTGGATAATTTAATATTTTTTTGCCCTGGCAACCCTAAGCACGAGTAAGTTGGCAGGTCGGTTGGCCCTCTGTTTCCATTATTTCATAGACAACAAAAACTGTTTTGGAAGGAGTTAATCGGGGGCTCAAGTTGTCTTATTCCGGGGATGTGAGTCATAGCCTATTGTCCAGATCGAAATCTCAAGATGTCCATGGCACAAAGTCCAAATTCCTGCGTGGAGACGCCCAAGGCGCCGGAGTGGCTATCCAAATTGGAGTCTCGTCGGGAGCAACTGAAGCGCTCGAAGCTGGGACACGAATCCGGTGCTGGAGCTCCCTGCAATCAGTGCAAGGACAAGTGCCCAGGATTGGACTTGCACTTTTGGCGGAAGGTTTGCCGCAACTGCAAATGCCGTAAGAACGAGCACGCGTGTCCTGAGGATGACGACATCACAGGATGGGCACAGTTCGAGATCCTTGGCCAGATACGTGCCAAGCCAGCTTGTAAGTTGTGAAATTGTAACTCCGAAACATGTATAATTCTCATTATTACGCGCTTTGGACAGACATTAAAATCAAGGCCCTGGCCAGTCAACCGGTGCAGTTGGAATGGGTGCCCCCAAATGCCGCTCCCGATGTAGTCACCGATTATATGGAGAAACTTGGCACCGCCCAAATACCCGTGGCCGGAAGCGATGCTGCCCTCAAGCGAAAGCAGCAGCTGGAACTGCAGGTACCGCCGCACGATTTGGACGCCACCCTTTGTGACGGGCTGTCGGAGACGGAGGCTCGCCAGCTTCAACAATATGTTCAGCGATTGCGCGAGCAGTGCGTGGGCCAGGGCGTGGTGGTCCGTTTGGGAAATCGTCTGAATCATGCTCAAGTGGAGCATGTGGCTCCAACTGTGGTTGCTCCACCGGAGACGAGCAAAACCTGGCAATCTATTGGACTCTCCCCCGTCGCAGACGTCACTCTAAACGAGCTTCTAGGAAATGCCAAGCTATCACAGGCTTTGGCCAGTCCAGCCAGTGCCCATCCCAGATTACTGGTGGCCTTTGCCGAGCCCCTAACCGATTCGGTGGATGAGTTTCAGGAAAATGGAGCCTTGCGGGCTCAGTCGAAGGAAAAGCTTTTGGGAATTAGCAAGCCGGCACTTCAAAGCTTGGTAACACACGGAGTCGTTTACGACAAGGTCTTGGGAATGCTGCAGGTAAGAGCAATGGATTGGAAGTTCCTGTTTGGGTTTTTAAATATTTTTTTTTTCAGGACAAGAATCTGAACATTTCCAGGGATCCCAAACTGGGACCCATTGCCGAGTTCCGAAAGGAGTACTCGAAAAACCCCCAATTCAGGGCCGAGATCAACACCATCTGCCCCCCGCAGCCTATGACTCCCGTGAAATCGGCTCCAGGCACACCGTTCAACTCACCACTGCCCCTGAAGAATCCAGTGCAGGCCAGATTTGGAGCCCAGATGCGTCAGGATACTCCCATGCGGAGAGTGAAGTTCGGGGGCGTATCCACCGTTGTTTATGATTGTGGTCTGCCCACCAATACGGACTACGATCGAGATCCGGTCTTTGCCCAGATCCTGCAGGCGGAACCCCTCAAGCAAGCCTTTCAAGAGGCTCGTGCTGGACGCGCTCCGTCCTCGGTAGTTATATCCACTCTACCAGCTCCCGTGGCAAATATTGGAGAATTAAGGGGACTGCCGCCCGCTACCAAGGCTCAACTGCAATCGATCGGATTGGACAAGAACATGCTGCAGTCTGCTGTGGCCAACGCTCCCTACTACGACCGGCTATTCCACACCCTTCAGGACAAGGGCATCTCACACGATCAGTGCCAGCTATTGCAGCCCCTGAAGCAAGTACATGACTGGCTATTGGACGACGATAAGCTGCTGGAGGATATTGATAAAGTCTTTGCTGACATGGCCAATGGTGCCAAGGATATTTCTTATCCGAAATCCAATCTCGGGGAGCTGCCTACATCGCAGAGCAGCGACTCTGGCTTCCACTCGAAGCCCTCGACTCCCGGTTATGGCAGCGAGGACCTAACTGCCGGTCAGGGCCGGTTCGTTAGCATACCGGGAATCGAGGACATGAATATGTATCCGAACTGTGCTGGAATGCCCGAACAGTTCCAACAACTACGAATCCACGGCGATGAAGCTGCAGGAAAAGGTAGGTATTCTCTAATTTGGATAAAACCATGACTAATAACCTCTCATGGCTTGCAGACAACGTATCCACCATCTTATGCTGCGACTGTAGCCAGCCCATAGCTTTTGGCGAGGTGGCTGTGAAAGCGGATCGAGCTGGGAAGGAGATCGCCTGGCATCCCGGCTGCTTCAAGTGCCACACATGTCGCGAGCTGCTGGCCGACTTGGTCTACTTCTTCCACCAGGGACAGGTCTACTGTGGCCGCGACTTGGCCATCAAGTTGAAGATACCGCGCTGCCGCGCCTGCGACGAGTTGATCTTCACGAAGGAGTACACGGCAGCGGAGGGAGCCACCTTCCATATCAAGCACTTCTGCTGCTACCAATGCGACGAGCCCCTGGCCGGCCAGCAGTATATACCCGATGAGAACTCCAATATGCCACTGTGCCTGCAGTGCTACGATCGTTTCTTTGCAGTGGCCTGCAAAAATTGCCAGCAACCCATTGGACCGGCCGATCAGGGCGTGGTCTGGGGCGATATCCATTGGCATGGCCAGTGTTTTGTCTGTGCTGGAGTCCAGTGCTCCAAGTCGCTCATCGGCGGAAGGTTCTGCGTCAAGCAGGACATGCCCTTTTGCAGTCCCGCCTGTGTGCGTAGCGTTATTTCCTAAGGTTGTCTCCACAAAAACCAAAAAAAAAAAGTATTTAAAAAAGGATCAAAAAACGCACAAATATTTAGCATAAAACAGTGAATAGAAACTAGAGATGCCACACACTTCAAGTGCCTAGAATAGACCTGCATTTATAAAAAAAGACTGCTCCTTGTTGCAATTCCAAAATTTTTTAAAAAAGACCTCGAGCATGTCGATATTTTAACAATTCCAGCCGCTTTTAAACAGTGCCAATAGACCAAATAGAATATATATATATGTATACAAGTTTTATATACAATATTTATACATTGAAAAGTATTATATTTACAGGAAAAAACCCTTTTTTTAATAAAGCACCTTATTACGAAAACCCCCACCCACCCAGTTAAAAGTCATTTGGAATAATTAATTTTTTACGTATCTGCTGGTAGTTTTTATTGGTAATTGCATTTCTCGATTTATTAATTAATCATCATAATTAGATTTTGTGTTGATTTTTCTTGTTCTTGCTTGTATATAATGTATATGCATTGTATAAAGTTCTCGTCTCGATTTTTGTGGGGTGTGTCGAGTGGAGGAGCTCGTTATTGCAGAAGCGAAAACAAGGACTAAATCACATTCACATAACTGCCAAAATTTGGGGTATTTGGGTATTAGTTGCATTTTATTTCAAGGATACTATCTGGTAATCAAGATAGATATCTCTACAGATAGTTTAGTTTGTTCAGTTCAATTGTATTGCTAAGTATGGGTGCGCATTGTACATATAGGCCATATATATATCATCTATATGGCGTGTGTACATGGTTTTAGAGTCATCATCCCCAAATGAATCCTAATCTCCCACCCAGGTTAGCTGCCATGGCATGTATTTTTTTGAGGATTAGCTTCCATTTGGGGGCCTGAGAGGTCAAGGGGTCAAGGGGTCTGATCTGATCTGAGGAGGAGTGTTGAGTTTTCAGCATGATTTCATCGATCTCTAGTTCTCTACGCTCGTCAGTTAGTTACTCCTTCTTATATTAACACTAAGTTGCCTTTGCTCTTTCGTTATCGTTTTAATATGTATTAATTACATTGATAATTAGTTAATCATAATTTCTTTTTCTGTATCTGTTCTCTTTGTAAACAATTTTACATGATAGGATCGTTTCTTTTTTTTATCGACTGAGTGAGTGTTTTTTTTTCATTTTTCCGTAATTTGCTACAACAAAAACTATGCCTTAAAATAATACTTTAGTTACAATTTATTTTGTTTTTCTTCCTCACTGCTCACTGCTCGCTTGGCATTTATATATTTATTTTTTTTTCTTTTATTTCTTAATTTTGTTCTTCTTCTACCGTTCTGGCACAACTAAAAACAATTAACAAAAATGGGGGGAGTGGGGGTGGGTGGAGAGTTAAGTTCAAAATTAAATTGTTTGCAACTAATATATTTTAATATATATATATAGGTATACCTAATAGAGTATGGGAAGAAGGGTGGTAATAGGTAAAAAAACGAAAACTTAAACTTAGGTATAGCTTACGAATTAAAGGGGGGGGGGGTTCATTATACTTAAATGAGGGAAAGTTAGGGGTGGGGCATGGGGGAGAAAACACTAATTACAAAGCGATATGGCAACACCTTACGCGTGTTCTGCCCACATTCTTCAGATTTTTTTTTTGTTTGCTTTTTTCAGTTTTTTTTTTATGTTCATTTTTAAATAACTAAAAAACTTGATAACTTATATAACCCAGGTCGGTCGGTCAGTCGTCTGTCAGTCGTCGGCGAGTCCTGTCTTTCTTGCTTTCAGTCCAGTTCCTGTCGTCCAGTCCGCGCCGTTGCCGCTCCCGTTGCACACATCTTAAAGCTATACACAAAAAGTTAAGTTAAATTGTATATAAAGATTTGCTTCCATCGAGGTTCCAGGTTCTGCAGGATCTGCTACCGCCTGCCCCTTGATGCCCTGACTTCGGTCCTTGCTCTGGCCACATGGAGGCCACCATGAAGGCTTCGCGGTCCGATGTCAACAATTCGTGTAGACGCCCTGCGTGTAGTAGAGCTCCGTGATCCGTTCGGGCAGGGTGCTGTACAAGTTGGTGATTAGGTCGAGGGGCAGACGGGACCACGCCTCCTTGATGCGGAATATCAAGTCGTCCTTGCGCGAAAACTTCCGCCCGCCGTCAAACACTTCGCGTATCAGCCAGCCCCACACGTTCTCCATGATGTTCAGGTCATGGGCGATGGTGGGCCACTTTTGCGTCTTCAGTCCTTCCGCGTTCAGCAGATCCTGGGCGGTGGGCAGGGCGTGCGACATCCAGTTGTGGTCCTGCAGCACAAACTCCGGGCTGCCCAACTTGCCCACAATATTGGGCCTCTCGCGCATAATGGCTTCAATGCAGGACTCTGGTCGTTGCTTCGCAGAGGAGACCTCCAGGTGGACGGCTCCTCCGACGCACACCATTAGGTAGATGTAGACGGAATTGCCACGAGGTCGCTGCGACAGGGTGCGCTCGTAGTTCCGCAAGTCGTGGAAGTAGTAGGAGAAGCCATCCGGTCCGTCCAGATTGAAGCGCCGCTCGTCGTGGAACACCACCCGCCGCCAGTGCTCCTCGCTCCACACTATGTACGTGTTGGCGAAGTTGAGGCGCTCCGTTTGATTGTACTGCGACAGCACCGGTTCCGTCTTCAGCTTCTTGGCGCAGTTGGCCGAGGATGAGCTGCTGGCGCTGGATGAGCTGCTGGTTGAGGAGGTCGACGACGCGGATGATGACGATGAGGACGACGATGATGAGGCGGACGCTGCCGATGCCCGAAGCAGGGCATTCGCTGCGGCGGCAATGTTACTGCTGCTGTTGGGAGCCCCAACGGCGGCCACGCGGGAAACGATGGTGGGTGATACGCTGGATCCGTTGGACTGTTGGGTGGGCGCATGGCTGGAGGCTGTGCCGCCTGTGCTGGAGCTGGCCGCCGAGAAGTTGGAGTTCTGGTTGAGGGCGTGCACGGGCAAATGCGACTGCTGCTGGCTCTTCAGGGGCTGGGGCTGAGGTGGCGGTGCCTGCTGCTGCTGGTAGTACGGGTGGTGATGGTGGTAGCTGATGTGCTGCTGGTGCTGGTGGATCGTGGGCTGTTTCAGCTGCAGCTGCTTCAGTTGCGTCTGCGACTGGGCCAGCAACTGCTGCTGATGGTGTTGCTGGTGCTGTTGCTGCTGTTGTTGTTGTTGCTGCTGCTGTGGGATGGGCACCTGCTGCATTCCGGGATGCTTAAGGTAGTAGTGCAGTGCCATCAGGTTGTTGGCACTATTGGCTGTACTGGTGGGCACACCAACCGGCACGGACACGGGCACAACTCCGGAGTTCACTGGTGCACCGCCGCCGCCGCCGGACTGCAGCAGCTGGACTGTGGTGGTGGCTGTGGTGGGCGGAGCTCCATGAACGGCCGCCGCCGCTGCTGCAGCCGCTCCAATGGCACCCGCACTGGCAGCCAGCTGGGCAGCCGACTTGGGATCATAGATGAACTTGTTGAAGTTCTGCAGGTCATCCGGACTAAGCACTAACGTTTTCATTTGGAACTCTTTCGGCAGTTTCTGGGCTTGAATGTGTTGAGAGTGGATCTGTTTTTCGATCTCAGCTGCTCATGGGTTAAGCTTGGATTGGGTTGGGTTAAATGCAGGTCCGAGTTTTCGGGTCTTGATTGCTATATATCTTTCTATATATATATATATGTATGTTGTGTTTTGTTGTTGTTGTTGGAGCTGACAACGCTCACGCACTTTCGGCTGTGACTCGATTTCCAAATTCGTTGCGCGTCCGACTTGGCAACCTGTTCTCCAATCTCTGCTCTCTCTTCTCAGTTTCTCTGGGTTTCTCTCCCTTTTCTCTCGCTCTCTCTCTTATCAAAAGGGCTGACTGGCTGGCTGGCTGGCTTCCTCTGATTGCAAAACTCTCAGGCCAACGCGATCGTAAAAAGATGTCGGTTTACTTTCCCACCGAAACACGTACTATACCCCTGCCTCTGTCTGTCTGTGTGTGTGTGAGTGGCCAATGGTGTGTGAGTGAGTGGAGCACTTCCAGTATGTTATCCTCTTTTGTTGAAGTGGTTTTTCTTGTCGCTATAGCTATGTGGTATGGTATGGTTGCTGCAGTTGCTCCGCTGGCGTGCAAATGTTTCCTTGTTTCTTTATTCTGTCGCTCTTAGGCTCTTAGGTATTCGAGTATTCGGGTATTCCGTATTCCGCTGTCGTCGACGTCGATTTACCTGGAATAAAATACAAAAAGAAGAAAAAAAAAATAAAGGTACAGGTATGTGAAAAAGAGTCTTGTTTCACACTTTGCATTGTGTGTGCTGCTGCAGTACATATATGTATATATCGTTATATATCTTTTTAAGCAAATGCAACCCAAGTTGGTTGGAGAAATCAACACACACTGAAGACACCCGAAATTTTTTGGAACAGATGTTCATCGTGCTCGGATTTCAGGTCCCTTTTTTCTTCCTTTTTTTTGAAAAAAAAAGGTCTTCTATAGTGCCTGTCTTTTGAAGAAACTCTCTCTCTTTCGAAAAAAAAGAATTAAAAATAAACCGAAATGGGAGCACCACCACCACCACACACAAGTGCATTTTGGATGGCGAATTTTGGAAATTTTTCAGCAGATATGCAATTTTTTTTATTTTTTTGCCAAGCAGGTCGTTTCTCTGTTTACCATTCATCTGCCAAGGCAGGCAGTCTTCTGGTCTTCCGACTGTCTGCCTTGTGTGCTCCTTTTTCCCAGGAAATGACAAAACAAGTGGTTTGGATGGTTGGTTGGATGGTTGGAGGGTCAAAAGTGCATCAACCGCAAGGGGAAGGAAAGAAGAAAAGATAAAGAGCAGGTGTTGCAAATCCTGCAGAGAATTGTTTTCCATTCGACAGCCCAAAAATAGCATTTCAGTTATTGTTTTTTTTTTTTTTTCTCAATCGAGTCGAGCGATAAGACTGCGACCACATCCCAGATTATTAACTATATGGTATGGTATGGTAGGCATGTGTTTGTATATATTTAGTGTTATCATTTCTATATAGCCACATGCACATGCCCCATTCATAAAGCCCCCTAAACCCTAAAACCTCTCTCTCTCTTGAGGTAATCTATCTAATCTTTGGGGATGTATGTTTCAGAAAAGGATACTGTTCGCAGCATTATCTATACCGTTACATGGATTTTTATGCTTTACAATTTATGGCAACCTTTCGCCCCTGAACTGCGGGCTTTAATACGCATGTTTCCCACTGTTTTGGTTCGCATGTAATGAAATTAAAACTAAATTCAGCTCGCCACGGGGATGAAAATCGAGTTTTCGATTCAACTAAGGGAAGAAAGCTGCCACTGCCACTGCTATTACTGCCACTGCCACTGCTGTCTGTGTATGCTTTGTGGGGTTGTGCTGCCATGGGTTGTGATGTCAACCGAAGGACCATTGCCAGTCTGTGTATATGTGGCTGCTGCAGCATTAAACTCGGTCGCTTTCCGATCGAAACTCGTAGCTGCTGCAGCTGTGTGCCTGGATACTCGGAGCTCTGGTCAGCGGGTCGAAAGTTCAACGAGGGGGGGTACATGTAAGAAGAAGACCTTCGGCAAAATTCTGGCAAGCATGGGGGCAAGCTTTTATTGAAAGGCGTGTGGGTTTGGGGGCATCAATAGACGCCAAATATGGTATGAATCAGCCAGGGAAAAGCTTTACACGCGATCTCATCCTCCTTGAGGTCCCACCAGCCAGCCAGTCAGCTCCCTCTCTTTGATTTTTTGATTAAAATTCATTTTTGATGTAATTTATGTCGGCATATGGCGCATAGCAACAAGAGTAACATTAACAGGATTATCAGGGCATCTTCCACCATCTGGCAGGAAAAAAATAGATATAGATCTAGATCTAAAGCTATTGACTTTGGTAAATGGTAATGGATACTGTTCTCTGCTAAAGGATAGTGCTCTCCATAGACCTTGTTTCCAACACCTTTAGCTTCTGGTTTAATGAACAGATTAACGATAGAAGGCCTATCATATATGTATATTCATCACGTAGGCACGTTTCCAGATCTCTCAGCTGTTAAGCTAAAAAACAGATTCTAAGCCAAAAGCAGAGAGTTCCAGGGAATTATGGGAATACGTGCCACTCTTCCAAACATTCCTTCTCTTTATCACTAAGGTCATTAACTGAAAAAACAAAGGATATTATCAGACTTGTTTTCTTTTTAAAAAATATATGCATATAAGCTTGCCTATGGGAATGGAAATTTAAAACCGGAATCCAATCCAATTGTTTTCTTCTAATTGCCATTTGCTTTCTAGACTGAGATTTCCATAAAACAGCTGCTGCTTCAAACAGACTCTCTAATCGATGTATCTGTATCTATATCTATATCTATATCTATGACCGTGCCGCACTGATTGATAGTTGTGCTCTGCGGATTCCCGGACACATGTGATAAGATATGGCACATACTCACGGAGCTATCTAAAGCGAGTGGAGTGCTGCGAGAACCTTTGTTTAGTGTTTTGTATGAACTTTGGCCTTGTGTTCGGCCAAAAATACAAAAAAAAAAAAACATCCAAACTGGTTGTACTTGAGGCAAGCTCATTTTTTTTGAGCTGACAATGATGCTGGGGTTTTCGGCTTGGTTTCCACCGAAGCCCTTGGAATGCTGACAGGCCTAAAAGTTTCAACGATTTTCGGCGTTTTTCGCCGTTTTTTCGATGCCACAATCTAATCTAATGCCCTTGATAAAGTCTGTGAACTCCGTTCGGGATCTTTTAAGACTAGCTGGTGCTGGTAGTGCTGACTAATCGAATTTTAAACATTTGAGTCATTTTCAGGGAACTTTACACATGGCTCTCACGGTTGGGACACAGTGTTATGTATTTAACTTTTCTATATATATATTATATGATTCACTTGACGATTTTTTTAAGGGGATTTTCACTGACTTTTGTTTTTTTTTTTTATTGGCACATTTTGGTCCTGTTTGGAGTAACGGCACTTGCGAGAGTGACTCTTTAGAGGTGACACTGAGTTTATGACCGCGAATGTTGTGTGTGTGTGTGTGTAGGGCTGCTCTTGGCGGGGGATCCTCAGTCTGCTCTATCCTGCTCTCCCCAATTCCCGTTTCGCGTTTTTGGCGTTTTCAGTTTCCCGTTAGAGAGAGGGAGAACAACGGGCAGTGCTCTCACTACAGATGCATATGCATGTGGGAGATGATGCAGCAGCAGCCGTAGCAGCAGCAGAGGCAAGGCAGCCCGACGGGCATATGGACATGTGTAAAATATCCAAAAATATAAAACGAACCCAGCGAACTGGCGCTGCTATTGCGACCGACGACCGAAACGTCCGACGTAATAAAATCCCTTACGCGCTGCAGGCAGGCAGCGCCGCAGCCACATGCTTCTCTTTTATATTTATAAATTGAGCCAGCCAGCCCTTATGTGTTCAACTCTCCGTTATATACATTTACAACAACCACAACAACAACAACAACAACAACAACCAGTCTCTGTGCGTGCGTATGGTTGTATGTGTACGTCGTGTTTTTGTGATGCCTTCGTCGATATTGAAAGTACATGTGTACATGCACATTAGGGCGGTCCTCGTTTCAACATTAAATTCAAAGAATTTTAATTCCAGAATACGATTTTTTCAATAAAATTATAAAACCAGAAAAAATTAACTTTCTTGTTTTGAAATTAGAAACGCTACCATTTCACAATAAGAGCCAACACAGAGAGAGAGAGTTTAGGTAACAACAACAAAAGCCAAAGCATATTGAGGGCCACCCTAATGCAGATACATAGGTACGTCGTTTGTATATACGTGCGTGCTGCCTTGCCTGCTTGCCTGCATGTACCTACAGCGTTCGTATATATGGTGCTATGTATCAACGTACGTTGAACGAGAATCGCGTTGGAAATGAAATTGTATTGCGAACAACGGGACGATCCGATACGAAGTGCTTCTTTTTTTTTTCAGTTAATTCTTTGCACATATGTACGAATGTTTCTACATATATGTATCGTTTTCGTTTTCACACAAAAAAGCAATGCTGGGCCCACAGTTTTTTTTTCACTTTTTTCACGCTTTTGGGGCTCATTTTTTGTTCGCCAAGACGTATTACTTATTGCTGACTGGCCGATTGGGTTTTCGTCGATTTGGATTTCGATTCCGTTTGCGTTGCGTTTGGCTGGCTGGTGTTGCTTTTGCTTTTTTTTCGAGTGCGTGATTACGCCATTTTCTTTGCACGCCCATCTCTCGAATTACCTTTTTCGGATCGATCGATCCATCGATCGCCTGGCTAGTTGCACTCGCGTTAACTTCGACGTGTCGCGAAGGGATTTGCGGACTCGGATTCGCTTTTCCCAATCAATTTATTGACTATTCCACGGGGCTACGTTGAATTTCATAAATGCAGGTACGCAGAGACCTCACGGGTTTTCACGATTTGTTGGCTGTGTGACCAGATGAGTAGAAAAATTTGCCTGTCGCCCAGTATATAACAGATCAAACGGTCACTCTAATACTCGTTCTGTTAACCGGTTCGATATATTTTATACAACTGCAATATAATTTTCCACCTTTGTTTTTAATCTCCACATATAATACAAAAGTTTAGTTTAATAAAAAATGTTTAAGAATTTAAAATATTTTAAAAACATATGTTTTCGTTTTTCCATAAAATCCACTTCCACCTGCTAACAGAACTAACATCTGTGATGTCAGCGCTGTTAAATTAAAATTAATTTATAAATACATGAATTCATTATTTAATAAGTAATCTCTCGCTTCTGTAGCAGACATCGATATTTATGAAAATACAAAATAATCTATTTCAGCTTTCTAGGTCCAGTTCATGTTTTCCTAATCTGTGGGGTTCTGGATGACAATCAGGATGAAGTCCTTGTCGGGGGCCACCATGATCTCGTGCTTCTTGGACCGCACACGCAGGAATGTCATGTCGTTGGAAGGATCCAAGTCCCGTACAACGCTTCGGGCCTTGTCAGCCAGCTGACTCATTAGGCCAGCGTACTGGACGGTCGTAGTGTTGTCCAAAGTGGATTTCACCGGAATACCTAATTGGGATGCAATGGCAGTTTGGTTATTGGCCAGCGCCTATTCAGTTGCCATAGCTAGATTCACCCACCTTCATTGTTGACGACAATCGTACCCACAACCCCTTTATGGCTCTGAATTCTTTTCAATGTTTCCTCTACCTCTTGCGACTAAAATAGTTAAAACAGTCAAAGTTATGAAAGCTCAGAAATGATTCCACTTACCATCTTGTCAACTAATTATGTTGGAGTTGATATATATATAAAAACCGACTTTTCTAGGAATAATCTTCCAACAGAACCCACCCAAAATCACCAAAGTCCACAAAAAAGTCGCAAACTTTTGTTTGTTCGATATTAAAGATGGTACTTAGTACCAGTGCTGGAAACGAACACAAGAAACCAGTTCTGTAAAAGAAAAAAAGACGGTGTTGCCACTTAAAAAATAAATAAGGGGGGAAAAACTAGATTTGAAAAAAATCGTTATATTTAAATAATTAATTTGTAACACCGTTCAAAATTAAAAAGTTGTTAACTGTAACTTGTTAAAATAATTAATTATTTCATTTAGTTCTTGACTTTTGTAAGGCTTGACAAAATCTTTCTATTGCCTTAGTGACCCATATATTTATTTAGTACCTTGGAAACCAAAAAAACGTATTAAATTGGGTTAATTTTCAAGGAGCCCTCCTGCAAAATGTTTTCCGCTCCTGAAAGGGTAAACACAACAAGTTTTAAGAACTAATATAATTTTAAAAACCCCTTTTTATTAAATTAGCCTCCCCGAACTCTTAGTTACGTGGAAAAAGCTTTTGAGCTGATCAAAGAGCGAAAAAATGTTCGGGATATAGTCATTCTTAACGACGCGGGTAATCCTGTAAAGAGTACCATGGATCGGGACGACGCTGTACAGTTTTCTGGACTTTTTCAATCCATTCGTGGAAGACTCGAGCGAGGAATGGCCAAAATAGACCCCACTGATGAATTGTTAATGCTGAGGGTAAGGACTAAGACAAACGAAGTCCTTTTGGTGCCTGACTCGAAAATAACGGTACTGGTTCTTCAGGATGCTCAGGATAATTTTGAAAAATAAGCGTTTATATAAGAAATTTAATATACAACAGACATATGAATAGAAAACAATTATCATTCTTGGAATGGAAAAATGGATAAAAAAATCTAAAAAATATTTTGTCTCAGGATTTTGATGCAGAATGGTGGAGAATCGATCCAGAAATCGTTTAAGGTACTCCGCTTGAGAATCGGATAAGAATTAAGGAAGATATAGCCATCACCGAGGGCCCTAAAGGGGAAAACCCCATTTTTAAGGGATCCCATCAGGAAAAGTGGACAAAAAATCTAAAAAATATTTTGTCTTAAGATTTTGATGCAGAATGGTGGAGAATCGATCCACAAATCGTTTAAGGTACTCCGCTTCAGAATCGGATGAGAATTGGGGAAGATATAGCTATCACCGTGGGCCCTATAGGGGAAAACCCCATTTTTAAGGGATCCCATCAGGAAAAATGGACAAAAAATGGAAAAAATATTTTGTCTCAGGATTTTGATGCAGAATGGTGGAGAATCGATCCACAATTCGTTTAAGGTACTCCGCTTGAGAATCGGATGAGAATTGAGGAAGATATAGCTATCACCGTGGGCCATAGAGGGGAAAGCACCATTTGCAAGGGATCCCATCAGGAAAAATGGACAAAAAATCTAAAAAATATTTTGTTTCAGGGTTTTGATGCAGAATGGTGGAGAACCTATCTAGAAATCGTATAAGGTACTCCGCTTGAGAATCGGATGAGAATTGAGGAAGATATAGCCATCACCGTGGACCATATAGGGGAAAACACCATTTTCAAGGGATCCCATCAGGAAAAATGGACAAAAAATCTAAAAATATTTTGTTTCAGGGTTTTGATGCAGAATGGTGGAGAATCGAAGTAGAAATCGTTTAAGGTACTCCGCTTGAGAATCGGATGAGAATTAAGGAAGATATAGCTATCACCGTGGGCTCTATAGGGGAAAACCCCATTTTCAAGGGATCCCATCAGGAAAAATGGACAAAAAATCAAAAAAATATTTCGTCTCAGGATTTTGATGCAGAATGGTGGAGAATCGGTCCACAAATCGTTTAAGGTACTCCGCTTGAGAATCGGATGAGAATTGGGGAAGATATAGCTATCACCGTGGGCCCTATAGGGGGAAACCCCATTTTCAAGGGATCCCATCAGGAAAAATGGACAAAAAATCTAAAAAATATTTTGTTTCAGGATTTTGATGCAGAATGGTGGAGAATCGGTCCACAAATCGTTTAAGGTACTCCGCTTGAGAATCGGATGAGAATTGGGGAAGATATAGCTATCACCGTGGGCCCTATAGGGGAAAACCCCATTTTTAAGGGATCCCATCAGGAAAAATGGACAAAAAATGGAAAAAATATTTTTTCTCAGGATTTTGATGCAGAATGGTGGAGAATCGATCCACAAGTCGTTTAAGGTACTCCGCTTGAGAATCGGATGAGAATTGGGGAAGATATAGCCATCGCCGTGGGCCCTATAGGGGAAAACCCCATTTTCAAGGGATCCCATCAGGAAAAATGGACAAAAAATGGAAAAAATATTTTGTCTCAGGATTTTGATGCAGAATGGTGGAGAATCGATCCACAAATCGTTTAAGGTACTCCGCTTGAGAATCGGGTGAGAATTGAGGAAGATATAGCCATCACCGTGGACCATATAGGGGAAAACCCCATTTTCAAGGGATCCCATCAGGAAAAATGGACAAAAAGTCTAAAAAATATTTTGTTTCAGGATTTTGATGCAGAATGGTGGAGAATCGATTCACAAATCGTTTAAGGTACTCCGCTTGAGAATCGGATGAGAATTGAGGAAGATATAGCTATCACCGTGGGCTCTATAGGGGAAAACTCCATTTTCAAGGGATCCCATCAGGAAAAATGGACAAAAAATGGAAAAAATATTTTGTCTCAGGATTTTGATGCAGAATGGTGGAGAATCGATCCACAATTCGTTTAAGGTACTCCGCTTGAGAATCGGATGAGAATTGAGGAAGATATAGCTATCACCGTGGGCCATAGAGGGGAAAGCACCATTTGCAAGGGATCCCATCAGGAAAAATGGACAAAAAGTCTAAAAAATATTTTGTTTCAGGATTTTGATGCAGAATGGTGGAGAATCGATTCACAAATCGTTTAAGGTACTCCGCTTGAGAATCGGATGAGAATTGAGGAAGATATAGCTATCACCGTGGGCTCTATAGGGGAAAACTCCATTTTCAAGGGATCCCATCAGGAAAAATGGACAAAAAATGGAAAAAATATTTTGTCTCAGGATTTTGATGCAGAATGGTGGAGAATCGGTCCACAAATCGTTTAAGGTACTCCGCTTGAGAATCGGATGAGAATTGGGGAAGATATAGCTATCACCGTGGGCCCTATAGGGGAAAACCCCATTTTCAAGGGATCCCATCAGGAAAAATGGACAAAAAATGGAAAAAATATTTTGTCTCAGGATTTTGATGCAGAATGGTGGAGAATCGATCCACAAATCGTTTAAGGTACTCCGCTTGAGAATCGGGTGAGAATTGAGGAAGATATAGCCATCACCGTGGACCATATAGGGGAAAACTCCATTTTCAAGGGATCCCATCAGGAAAAATGGACAAAAAATGGAAAAAATATTTTGTCTCAGGATTTTGATGCAGAATGGTGGAGAATCGATTCACAAATCGTTTAAGGTACTCCGCTTGAGAATCGGATGAGAATTGAGGAAGATATAGCTATCACCGTGGGCTCTATAGGGGAAAACTCCATTTTCAAGGGATCCCATCAGGAAAAATGGACAAAAAATGGAAAAAATATTTTGTCTCAGGATTTTGATGCAGAATGGTGGAGAATCGATCCACAATTCGTTTAAGGTACTCCGCTTGAGAATCGGATGAGAATTAAGGAAGATATAGCTATCACCGTGGGCCATAGAGGGGAAAGCACCATTTGCAAGGGATCCCATCAGGAAAAATGGACAAAAAATCTAAAAAATATTTTGTTTCAGGATTTTGATGCAGAATGGTGGAGAATCGATTCACAAATCGTTTAAGGTACTCCGCTTGAGAATCGGATGAGAATTAAGGAAGATATAGCTATCACCGTGGGCTCTATAGGGGAAAACCCCATTTTCAAGGGATCCCATCAGGAAAAATGGACAAAAAATCAAAAAAATATTTCGTCTCAGGATTTTGATGCTGAATGGTGGAGAATCGGTCCACAAATCGTTTAAGGTACTCCGCTTGAGAATCGGATGAGAATTGGGGAAGATATAGCTATCACCGTGGGCCCTATAGGGGAAAACCCCATTTTCAAGGGATCCCATCAGGAAAAATGGACAAAAAATGGAAAAAATATTTTGTCTCAGGATTTTGATGCAGAATGGTGGAGAATCGATCCACAAATCATTTAAGGTACTCCGCTTGAGAATCGGGTGAGAATTGAGGAAGATATAGCTATCACCGTGGACCATATAGGGGAAAACCCCATTTTCAAGGGATCCCATCAGGAAAAATGGACAAAAAGTCTAAAAAATATTTTGTTTCAGGATTTTGATGCAGAATAGTGGAGAATCGATTCACAAATCGTTTAAGGTACTCCGCTTGAGAATCGGATGAGAATTGAGGAAGATATAGCTATCACCGTGGGCTCTATAGGGGAAAACTCCATTTTCAAGGGATCCCATCAGGAAAAATGGACAAAAAATCAAAAAAATATTTCGTTTCAGGATTTTGATGCAGAATGGTGGAGAATCGATCCAGAAATCGTTTAAGGTACTCCGCTTGAGAATCGGATGAGAATTGGGGAAGATATAGCTATCACCGTGGGCCCTAAAGGGGAAAACCCCATTTTTAAGGGATCCCATCAGGAAAAATGGACAAAAAATCTAAAAAATATTTTGTCTTAAGATTTTGATGCAGAATGGTGGAGAATCGATCCACAATTCGTTTAAGGTACTCCGCTTGAGAATCGGATGAGAATTGAGGAAGATATAGCTATCACCGTGGGCCCTATAGGGGAAAACCCCATTTTTAAGGGATCCCATCAGGAAAAATGGACAAAAAATGGAAAAAATATTTTGTCTCAGGATTTTGATGCAGAATGGTGGAGAATCGATTCACAAATCGTTTAAGGTACTCCGCTTGAGAATCGGATGAGAATTGAGGAAGATATAGCTATTACCGTGGGCTCTATAGGGGAAAACTCCATTTTCAAGGGATCCCATCAGGAAAAATGGACAAAAAATCAAAAAAATATTTCGTTTCAGGATTTTGATGCAGAATGGTGGAGAATCGATCCAGAAATCGTTTAAGGTACTCCGCTTGAGAATCGGATGAGAATTGGGGAAGATATAGCTATCACCGTGGGCCCTATAGGGGAAAACCCCATTTTCAAGGGATCCCATCAGGAAAAATGGACAAAAAATGGAAAAAATATTTTGTCTCAGGATTTTGATGCAGAATGATGGAGAATCGATCCACAAATCGTTTAAGGTACTCCGCTTGAGAATCGGGTGAGAATTGGGCAAGATATAGCCATCACCGTGAGCCATATAGGGGAAAACACCATTTTCAAGGATCCCATCAGGAAAAATGGACAAAATATCGGAAAAATAGTTTGTCTCAGGATTTTGATGCAGAATGGTGGAGAATCGATCCACAAATCGTTTAAGGTACTCCGCTTGAGAATCGGATGAGAATTGGGAAAGATATAGCCATCACCGTGGGCTATATAGGGGAAAACACCATTTTCAAGGATCCCATCAGGAAAAATGGACAAAAAATCTAAAAAATATTTTGTTACAGGATTTTGATGCAGAATGGTGGAGAATCGATCTATCAGGATCTTCAAATAAATAAAAAAATCTCTTTATTTTTTTAAATTCCAAAATCTGTTGGATTTGAAACCGTTTTATTAACGGTTCATAACCGCTAAGAACCGGGAAAAACAATCGATAAAATTTAAAATTTGTCGTGACTGATTAACTTTGAGGTAGTCGTCTATCGAATGATATATCGATAGCTAAATAAACTTATTTGACATCCCTGCCAGCCACCAATTCCACCCGCGTTGAGTTGCTAAAATAAACATAATACTATTGCAATTGGATTGGCGCATCAACAACAACAAACGCAGTCCAGATAGTTGGCCGCGAATTTTGGTGACGTCTAGGCGTAGATAGATATTGTGGCGTACCAAACCCAAAAGACGAAAGCGAGAAGCAAAGCAAACAAACGCAAAAGCGAAACGTGTAAACGGCGTAGAAGCGATAAAGCAAGTCGAGAAAACGAGTCAAATACGCAGCAGATATAATTTATACGAAAAATCAGCCATCCGCCGTGTGAGAGCAGCGAAGATTTATTAAAATCGAAATATATTTGAAATTTCGGGCCTTTATTCGCAAATATCTTACGCGAGTGTGTGTGCGTGTGTGTGTGTGTGTGAGTGTCTCAGGTGCCGACCCCCAAAAAAAATTCAAGGAATCCAACGGTAAATGCAGCTCCGTAATGTGCAGCCCAATAAACAACATGGTCAACGTAACGCAGCAGGACCTCCACGATCTATTGGAAATTTTCGAAAGAAAATCATTCGAGGCGGCGGCCTTTGAGGAAGGAACAGCGGTAAGTTTATAACGGTAGTCCTGGATAGCCTTGTTGGGTCTATATGTGTGTGTGTGTGTGTGTGTGGGTGGGTGGGTGTGACATACATTTGGGCGCACGTGCACGTGCTAGAGCCGGAAAAACGAACACATACTATAACAAGTCACGAAAAGCTTGATTTGGTAGTGTGCGTGGCGCCTACAAGGAGGACACGTCAGAGCTGTCCTGTTCTGAGCTCTCAGGCTCAGTCAGTCAGTCGCCGCGCCCCAAAAAATGGCTGCCATTTAAGATTGTGGAGGAAGAACATGTCTTTAAGGAATTAGAGGTCCTGAGAAGCCTACTAAGAGGTTAGGTAAGTCATTAATGACTTTTTTTAAAGACCTCTCAGGATTCACGCACTCCTTTTAATGGCCTAGTAATGCCGTGTTATCACCGACTTAGCCGGCAAATAACAAAAAACAATTGAGTTGGCAACAAAGCTCATTTGCATGCCCAGTCCCAGCACTTGGATATGTCCCAGGCAGACCTCGGAGAGAGCAAGAAACCCTAACTTGGCACGTAACTCACGTTTTGGATGAGTTTGTGCAGCTGGCGTCTCATATTATTGATAAAAAATAATAATAATAAAGGTAAAGGGTTGTTGGGGCATCTACTTTGTTGCATTTGCCATTCCAGTGGCTCTGTGGGCCACCTTATCTATCATTTGCTGGGAGGAGGCCTTCGATTTACGTTACTCGCCGCCTTATCTTTTTTTGAAGGCGATTTGAAGGCACAAACAAAACAGTATATGATGCCCCCCTTGATAAACAAAGCATTGCATTTGGTGATAGGATGGGATGGGGGGGAGCAAAGGGTGAAGAGACTGGGTGACTGCCGGGGTTCAAGGTCAAGCTTAGCTAAAGCGATTAGATTAGGCGCCTATGAGAATATTAAGTAGTTCTAGCCTCTGATTTTAATTTTAAAAATTAAAAAAAAATTGTTAAAAACTTACATCAAGATGTGAAAACATTTATTATTCAACATTCATTCTAAAAAAAAAATTATTACATTTATATTTTTTAGCTTAAAAAAAAAAAACTACCTTTATATTATATTTTTATAAAAAAAATACTCATACTAGTCTACCTAGAAACCCTGGAAGCTTCTCCTGAACTCCTCCTCAAAGTCACCATGCCCCAGATCCAGTTTCTGGTAGTCCGTACCCCCATTCCGCTCCAGCTTGGCCTGGGCCCAGAGGATCAGTTTGATGAGGAACATCATCCGCGGCTCCATTGCTCCATGACTCTCCTTGTTCAGGGCATCTCTCGTGGTCCGGGTGAGGTTCGCCTTGCCGGCTACCTTCTGTACTCTGTGGATGTGGTTACCCTTTACATAGCCCAGGGCCTTGTTGATGTTCTCCTCCCGGATCAGTTCGATGAGGCGCAGCTGTTGCATGTGGAAGTAGATGTAGTTGTCGGTCTCGAAGAGTCGTGGATACAGTCTCGTGGCCAGGTCCATGGCATACTGCACCTGACCCAGGCGCATGGCATCCTTGATCTTGAATCTATCCATCATGGGGTAGGCTTCTGAGATAAAGCTCTTGGCCGAATCTTGGTAGCCTTCTGAGGATTAGGGAGAGTATATTTATAGGGTCCTTATGGGAAGGGTCTGTAGGTAACCCACCTGTCACCAGGTAGTTCATCACCAAGCGATTCAGATCCGCCTGCCGGCACTGGAAGCTGGACATGCGATGGGGCCAGGAGGTTGCTGGTTTATAGTCGGCCATTGTAAGGGGGGTTCTATAAAGGGGTGGTATTATTATAATTATTATTAATATTATGAGGTTATTATAAAGTATTTTTCTAAGGAAATAAAGTCATATTTGTGACTTTCTTTGTGATAATATTTATGAATCATGTTGAGATTACTGTGTCTCTATAGATATATCTCCCATATGGTTCCACCGATCATTATATCACTTTTGTTTTCAACTTTCTATAATATTTGCGCATTTTTTTTAGAAAACTTTTGTTTCGAAATGGCATTGAAAACTGCATGTTCCGAGTATGTGTATCTGTGGGGTTGACTCTGAGGATGAGGATGGGGAAGAGGAGGTGCTAGGTGCTAGGTGGGTGAGCCATCTGTCTGGGTGGGTGGGTGTGCTCGTGTGGGCGCCAAAAAGCCAATTCGCTCTGAATTTCTCTCCCAGACAAGCCGAAAAGTCTAAAAATAACAGGAAGGCTTTTTCTTAAAAAAAAATAAATAAAATAAAATGTAAAATGTTTTTCTTTGTTTGTTGCCTTGTGTTTTGTTTTTATTTTTAAACAAATATTATATATTTATTTTTGGAATATTAGTAGACCCACCTGTTGTTGTTTTTTTTGAAGATAATGATAGGAGATATATTAAAAATAGTAGCTCTAACTAAGTAGCCTCTTTGCAGGAAAAAGTGAAAAAAAAGGCCCACAAGCTCGATGATTTGGGAAAATAGTTGGAGATGTTGGTGGTTCCTGGGTTTCTTGGCCTTTCCGGGCTACTAATCCTGGACCAAATAATCCTAATCCTCGTTTTGGACCAAAAAAATGGCCGCGGAGCGAGCGGTGCCTCTGGGGCCTGCTGGAACACTGCTCTGTCCTGTCCATCAGCTCCTCCTCGGCTATTATGTGTATCCCGCCGCGCCCTTCCAGTTTGCAGGACCTACTTCCAGGCCGGAGAACTGCTGCACTCACCATTCCAGGGGGTTGCAAGCTCATAGTTCCACTTCTTCCAACGACAGTGGAGCCTGCCCAGTGCACTATTTTGGTGCTCTGGATGGTCTCCTTGCCACTGGCTTATGGTCGCCTGGGTTGAGTGGCAGCGGTCTGTGCGGATGCCACGCCCCCGTCCATGACGCCCACTTTCCACCCCCAACCACCGGCCAGGATGCAGCTGTGTGTGGAGCTGCAAGCTGTGTGGGCGCTTTGGAAAATGCGGCACAGGCGCGCAGGAGACCGGAAGAGTGGAATATGGGATGGTATTCCAGCCCTACAAGTGCAACACTCCTGCGTGGTACAGTGGGCTTTACAGGGTTTTTTATGGTTAAAAATTGCAAGACAATTAGTGTGGAAATAAAGCCATTATTTGGAGAGAGACAAGGTTGAATGGATTATTATGATTGATATTTAATGTTTCGTGGCAGCTTGTCGAGCGAGAAGCCATTAATGGATGTCATCATTGCAATTATATGGCGGGTCAATGCTACGATGATCACAGGGGCTATAATAATGGAGAATAAAACAGGTCAGAGGTCAGACATAAAGCTCCCTCCCAGAGGGTATTACGATTTGGAGACTATATCCTCTAGAAGCTTCGATTTTTTTTCCAAAATTCCTATAAGAATGGGTCATCTATATCCGATATTTGTGATATATAGTATATATAGTATAGGATAGTATATAACTCTTCTATAATTTCCCTAGAAAACCACCAACTTGGGCCCTCATTTTTTTGGGAAAATATTCTCTGATCCACTCCACTGTGCCTTTGGGCCACTGACTCCTGCATCCTTTTATGATTGCCTGTTGCACATTGAACTTTGCGCCCACGCGTCTCCATGCAACGCCCCTCAGCCGCCCCCTGGCCCTCGGGAGTGTGTGCCACACCAGCTGTTGCTGCAAGATGCGTGGGTCACACCACAGACACTTGTGTCAGGTGCCCAGAAACACCAGCAGCAGTTGCTCCAGGGCGGGGGAGGGTAGGTGCAGTAACCATAGTAACTACGGCTGCTGGAAGCACTTATCCGGAGATGCAGTAGCCCAAGCGCATGTCCGGAAAGAGAGCCAGCGCGAGTTCGATCTGATTAAGGGCGCCAGTCACTCCTCTGATGAAGCGGCGTTATGGATTCCAGTGGCCACCTCCCCCACCCCCCCCCTTATGGCCGTCTTGAGAGTGCAGCCACCGGAAGTGGTTGTGCTTTCCGGTCTTCCGGGACTAACTGCCTCGCATCCGGGACCACCACGCACCCATGATTAGAAGAAGGGAGCAGAACTGACTCGCGGGATGCATGTGCTCCGATTTTTGGGCCACTGGCTTGGAGTTCATGAACGCCTGGTCCTTGACAGATAAAATCGATAATGTGTGGAATGGCAATGCCCCGGGAAGTTCATAATTGGACGGGGATTGGGAGTGGGTCTAGGACTAGGACTGGGATCTTGAAAAAAAAGGGTTGCCAAGCTAGGGGTTTTTATTAAAAAAAAACTATCAGGGTAGCAGGAATGAAGTTCTGATAGAAAACACGGAGAATAATTAAGGTTATTAAAAATGGTTTTTATTTTAAAAATTAAATATTTAAAAATGATATAAATTACTAATAGATTTTAGTAGAAAATTAAGTTTTATCATCAAATATAAATACCTAATAATTTCTAATATATCTTTTAAATTCTAATAATATTTTTTAAATAAAATCAATTATTAAATATTTTTTAAAACTTAGTTCTCTTAATAATTTAATCGATTAGCCAAAATGACCTTGTTTTAACATTACACTGAACTCTATGATGGGAAATCAGGAAACGATGCAAGGCCAACAGTTTGTTCGAGGGTGGTGTGGGGGATTCTGATAAATAAATACATACATACATGCATGTACATGTCTAGTGGGTGGATTTGGCAAATAAATGGAATGATGACAAGTGATGGAATAGATATATGAACACCCTCTCCATGCCAATACACCTATCCGGACATACCGCCCTCTTGCATGAATCTCAATTATTGGAGATTTTCAAGTATCTTATGGCTGAGACTCCTCCAAAGTGGCCCATAACTTCCGGCTTAAACGTGTTTCGAAAGTTGCCTCCTCTAGTATTTCTTTTATGATATTTTTATGCACTTTTTCGAAATGAAATGCAAATCAAGTGTTGGTATCTGAAAGATACAAGATACATATATCCATTAGATATGGATGATCAAGTTTAAGTTCAAGAGAAAGAAATTGTTTATTTTTTTTTTTAAGAGTAAGTATTATTGTTTATGGGAGCTATTGAACTTCCCGGGAATAAAAAAGTTATGAGCTTCCAGAGAACTCAATACGGAGAGTACCCTTGATTTGGAACCTGATTCCAATCCCAATACCCATTCAGATACAGATACAAAACGTGGGCGCAACTTGTTTATTTTTTTTTCTTGTATCTTTGGGGGTCTTTGAACGTAAAATTAAAAAAAAAATAAAAAAAAAGCAAGCATAAATCGTGTAAACAGGAACACTGAGACTGGACTGGGGTGTGGTCAGTGGCCCCGCCAGTTAGTTCGAGCTCTGAATAATTCATTCAAGAAAAGCCATTTTCCCTGTCGCCCCAAATTGATGAATATGCAACGTGTGGGTTGCACTTGCCTCCCCCCTCAGACCAGACCAAAACCAGACCAGATTCAAAGTACAGTCTTACTAAAGACATTTTAATGAGAAAAATATTTATATATATATTTTTTTAAAGGAGGTTATTATGATATTTTAAACTAAAAAGTATAAGTATTTTTATTAAATTTATTTTAATATATTTAATTACTTGATAGTTCTCTTTAGAGAGACCCACCTGTACCTCTGCCATTCCGCTCTCGGCCTGAACTCTCTCTTCTTTTTGCTGATGGCCTGTGCCCGGTCGAGTAAGTTGGGGTTCGGATGGTGGTTAGGGTTTCCACGACTCTGTCTGATTGCGAGTATTTCTTTCCTTCTTTCTTCTTTTTTTTACTTTCTTTATTTTTGAGTTTCAAGCTGCAATCTGTTGCAGCTTCAGCTTCTGCTGCATTTCTGTTGGCCCAGCAATGAGACTGGCTTTAAAATCCGGGTTTGCAAGCCAAAGCGGCACAGCGGCTTGAGTCTCTGAGACAGCCTTCGGTTTAAATATATTTTGTTATTTGGGTCAGCGATGATGATGATGATGATCATCATATTGCTGTTGGAAAACTACTTTTGCTTCTTAGTTCGCTGTAACTATTGCGCGGGTCTGTTTGTTGTTTTTAAGTTTTACAGCGCCTTTGGACCAGGCGCACAGTTTTCCAAGCAGCGACATTTACAGTTGCATTTTACTCGCTCGCTTACAATGCAGAAAAAAAAATAACAAAAATACATCTGCGACCACATCGGTGGCAGCTGCAACAAAAACAATAACAATAACAATAACAAAAGCAATAACAGAGGGCAGTGAGCAAGCAGTTTACTGCACACAACAGTACATCAGCTTCTCTTTGTTTGTTTTCTTTCTTTCTTCACATAAGATTACATGTGTGTGCACGTTTGTGTGACTTGCTTGTAACGGCAACAGTGTCTCCAAGTTGGAGCTCTCACTCATACTCTCAGCAGCCATCGATGAGGATTTTCTTCCTCTCTGCATCCCCCCCCCCATGCTCTCACTCAATCATTTTGTTGCCATTATTCGATATTCGTTGGAAAAGCCAAGAAAAGCTTAAGAAAATATAAAATAAAAGAAAATTGAAATTAATTACATAATTTATACAAAATTTAAGTTAAATTTAAACAAAAAAAAACTTTTACTCACCCACCCACTACCCTCTCTCACTCCCACTCTTTGGCTCAAACATTTCCGTTATTTGGCAGCCTGCTAGGTAAACACTCTTGAGGGTGTGAGTGGGAGCTAGAATAGAGACAGGTGAAAGAGACAGCCAGTCTTTGTTTGGCATTGGCATTTTTTGTTATTTTTAATATAAAAGCTTAAACTTAGCATTTTTTATATAATTTTTTTTTGGACGATGTGCTTATGCAATTAAAGGCTGAGTAAAAAAAAACAAATGCCATAAGCGGTCATTTGTTTTTTGCGTGTTCCCGTCGGCATTTGTTGGTAATTGCGTTTTAGTTGTTTTGCTCGTTTGCTTCGCTCTGCATAGTTTTCCCCACTCACTCACACACACGCAGGCACAAGCTTGACTAGCCTTTTGTCGAGTTTGTTTTGCTCGTTGTTTCGCTTTTGTTGTTGCCAATTTTTGCGCAGCTATGGTCTTTGTCTATTTTTCTTTTCTTCTATGTGTGTGTTAGTGTGTGTGTGAGCTAAAAACCTGTTTTCCCAAGGTGTTTGTGCGATTTTTAGTTTATTTTTTTTTTGCAATTTTTATTATTATACGCTTTTATCTTGTTATTTGTCTGGGACAGCTGGCTGTTGGCCACGCCTACCCGTCACTAGCGCCCCCCCCTCGATAGCTATTTTTAGTTTAACGATACAACCTTAACGTTTCCCACAAACATCGATGCTATTATCAGAAGTTTGCCTGCAATAGCGAATATTATACAATTATCTGAGCTAGGAGGGCTAAATTGATGTTGTAACTTGGCAACCACCCCCTCCTCCCCCCCTTGATGGGCTTATCGCACTCTTAGCCTTTGAGTGGCAGATAGCGCCACGTTTTCAGGTTCCCCCTTTCCCGGAGGCGACAAGTTCCATTGAACCCAAGACAAGAATTTTTTATATAAATATGTATATATGGTCAGAGATGTCTGTATATATATATATACATATATGTTTATAAATAAAAAACCAGTTGCACTTTGAGTTCTAATCTCGCAAAACATTAAGTCGCTGCCCGCCCCTTGGAATAGCCCGCAGTGAGGTCTTTTGGGAGAATCTATGACATGGTAGAGGAATATCATCCAAAAAAAACCCTTAAAATTAAGAATCATTTGGTTATTCATTCATAATCCTTACTCTTATTTTTTTTGGTTCATTTCAGGAGTATGAGATCTCCAAGAAATGCGAATATTTGTTCAAACAGGACTACAGCCTCATCGAACTGGACAACACCAATGGCCTTCTCAGTCCCCGATATCCTGGCCGCATACTCATACCGGAATGTGAACACGGACACATGGCCAAGACCCTGGTACCCGGCAATGGGCTGTTTGGCGGTGGCCCAGCAGGAGGAGGAGGAGGTTCATCTGGAACTACAGCAACTGCCACGCCTTTGAATAGCAGTGCCGGAAGCATAGGAAGCGATGGTGTTGGGATACAAGCCTTTGTAACATTCGCCAATCCTCTGCAGACACCCCATCAGCAACAGCATCCTTTCCAGCAACAGCCACCTCATCCCCTCCAGCAGCAACAACAACAGCAATCCCAGCCACAGTCCCAGAACACTATCTACGAGGATCAGTACGATATCCAGCGGATGAGAGAGCTGGTGACCATGGCCAAGTATGCCAGATGCCGCCAGCGGTTTGCAGTGCCGGTGATCATGTACCGGGGCAAGTACATCTGCCGATCCGCCACGTTATCGGTGATGCCGGAAACGTACGGCCGGAAGGTGGTGGACTACGCCTACGATTGTCTGAGTGGCGGGAATTACACGGCCACCAATGGCGAGGAGAACGATGCCGACTCCACGGACGAGTCGCTGATCAATCACATCCACGACCAGGCGCAGTCACAGTTTAGCTACGACGAGGTCATCAAGAGCGATATCCAGCTCCTCAACACGCTCAACGTCTCCACCATCGTGGACCTAATGGTGGAGAACCGAAAGATCAAATACTTCATGGCGTAAGTGGTCCTTGTAGTAGTCTTCTTCCAAGACAGACTCTAATCATGTCCTGTACCTTATCTAGAGTTTCATCATCGGAAAAGGCTGATCCCAACAAGCACTACAAGAGCTTCAACCTCCTCTCGTTGCCCTATCCTGGCTGTGAGTTCTTCAAGAAGTTCCGGGACAACAACTACATGGCCAGCAATCTCTACTACAACTGGAAGCAGACCTTCAACGATGCCAACATCAATATACCAAACATGGGACCCGCCGCCGACATCGATATTATATGGCCGGAATACCGGGACTGGGACTTGGTCACCATCACCCAGAACTATCTGAGGGCAACCCTCAAGTACGTCCAGGAGGAGAGCTCCGGCCTGCTGATTCACTGCATCAGTGGCTGGGATCGCACACCACTATTCGTGTCCTTGGTGAGGCTGTCCTTGTGGGCAGATGGACTCATCCATCAGTCGTTGAACGCCATGCAGATGGCGTACTTCACTCTGGCCTACGACTGGTACTTGTTTGGCCACCAGCTGCCAGATCGCCTCAAACGTGGCGAGGACATCATGTTCTTCTGCTTCCACGTCCTGAAGTTCATCACGGACGAGGAGTTCAGCATTGTGGAGCACCGCAAACGGACAAAGACCTCCAGCAGCAGCGGTAGCAGTGTCATTGTCATAAAATCCGACTGCTGTGACGATGAACCCAAGGAGTAAGTGCATCATATTGCGTTAAAATGATACAGAGACTAATCCTCCTCTCATATTTCTTCAGAGACTACATCCTGCCCTTTGATCAAGATAGCAACGATAGCTACTCAAACTGTTCCAACTGTGATATGTCTATAACAGATAATTTTTATGCCACCACCCCAGCGCCAGTCAATCCACTGACCAGTAGGTCACCGAATCCCAAAAGGTATTTAACTATATTCTTCAATATGACCCGATTCTATATCCTGATATCTTTCAGATCGCGTACTAGCCCTATTTCAGTGCCTGGAGCGAATGCGAGGCAAAGGCAGGAGTCTACCTCCTCGAATGGCAGCTGGCAGGTGGTAACAGACACTGGCTCCATCGACTCTATGATGAACGGAAGCTATATGATGCGGTTTGTGGCCCAGCAGGCGGCTGACGGTGGTAGCTCTGCGAACATTCCCATCTGCAACGGCGGCAACGGCTATCATTGCAGCACCAATACGGCATCGAGTGGCAGTGGAAGTGGCAGTAGCATAAGTAATGGCAGTTCGACGCACGGTTTCCCAAATGGTTCCTCCAAAGACGTGGGCGGCAGCACAATGACCACCAAGCAGTGCATTAACTTGTAAGACCTTTTTATTTTTTATTATTTTTATTTAAATCTTAAAATTTGAATATTTTTTTAGACGAAAGCAACGCCTGAATGCCGTGCGAGCCATCTTTATACAAGCCTACGGCAAGACGATTGGACTGAAATTCAAGGAAGGCTCCTCCATGAACCTGGCCACGTTCATTGGCAACCTGGCGGACCAACTGTTTTAGAGGGGATCAGAAGCCACGATTGTTAGTTTTCTTCCCAGATTGTTTGTTTTCTTGTTAAGTGCTGCTCTTTCCATCAACGACTGTATTTTTGTAGACCTGTTGAATTGCGTTCTGTTGTGACTGTTGTTAGTTGTATAAAGGATAACTGATTACTACTGATAAGAATCGAACGATCGAACGAACGAACTCTCCTAGACAACGTGCATAGTACAACTCGTTCTCGTGTTTGCCCGGAGACTCCCCCACGACCCGCCTCCTGCATCCATGCCTCCTCCCCCCCGCTCTATGTTTGTTTAGTTGTTAGTTTATCGAGAATGCAAAGCAAGCGGATGGCCCAACAAGGCGATTCGATTTATACAATAGTCTTAAGTTGTAATTTATAGTAATGTATTTTTTAATAAACTTATGTGCATTTGATACAAATCTAGGTCATTCTTTTTGCGAATGCCGACTGTATCGTCTCATGGCGGCCAGTGAAATGTAGTCATCCAAATCCAAACGCCTCACTCGTACGCGTAATGGTTTAATGTAGTACTTGGCGCTCTTAACGGGTACGAATCGAGGCGAGAATTGAGTCTGTTGAAATACTTTTTTATAAGGAGACGACCCGCTACTCGATGCTGGTGACTGCTTGAGCTTGACCGAGCGGACGGGACTTTCGAACGGCTCTCGTTTGATGGCCTTGCTGGTAGATGGAAGTTCTTCGTTGGTACTGAAAACCTTGGTTATAACGAGTTCCATTTTATACTTTTCCACCTCGCTACCTTTGATATAATCTGGATCTGAAGATTCTACCTTTGGTATCAACGAATACAATGTGTCATTTGGCAGCTCCTTCACCCTTATGGCTTTCAAAAACTCTGAATACTCATTCTCCACCGTGTTCTGTTCCTTGGGTCCAAACTCCTGTGTGGCATTAGCCAAAAGTTCATGCTGAAGTATGACATCCAGCACTTCCACCTCCAATCGACGAAGCATTGATTTCGACAGCTTTTTTAGTGAAGGTAACTTTGATAGAATCAACTGCTGGCATTTCGTCTTTGGTTCGTCATTTCCAGATGCAGATGACAGATATTTATTAATCTTGTCCACAAGGGGCCAAAGGGGCTCCGGCACGTCTCCCTGGGCGTTGACTAGAGTGGGCACAAATGGTTTGAGGATCTCCCACCGCCACTGCAGCTCCTGGACACTAAACCGAGATGTAAAAGGATCGTCTCTGTAGGCAACATTGAAGCTCTTGGCAACCTCATTCCAGCCCCAAGCCTTGTAGTCTGCATCCTCGCAGTTAACCAGGAACGGGTACTTGCATATTTGTTCCAATAGCAGCACGTCATTTAAAACAACCTGGGAGTCGGCGTTCCTGGTGGCTATGTTCAGAATCATCGGGTTGTCCACACTCCCAAGAGCGCCTGTTTCCCCACTCATTTTTCAGCTGCAAATAAATTAATTAAACAATGATACACTTAGCTTCACAAATTATTTAATTTACCTTCAATACATTTCTGTATTTCAATACATTTCAATACATTGCAGAGTTTTTAGTTCAAAAACAATATTAGAAGCGAAGAATTCATTTTCCAAGTAGTGTTGGAAAACAGCGATAACAAAACCATCGATAGATACGTGCAAAAATCGATATGTTAAGAGGCCACCACTAGCGAAGAAGCGTCGTGAAAAAGCCGCAAAATATACACAGACTGCACCAATATTTTCGCGAAACTCCAACAAATCGAGGCAAGGAACGTTAAAAACGCCCCGATATGAGTGGCGGCACCATGTTGTACGGTGGGGACGAGATCGGAGCACTGGTCTTTGATCCCGGTCACCATTCCTTGCGAGTGGGCTACGCGCAGGAGGACTCGCCGAAGGCGGAGATCCCCTCCGTTGTGGGAATCGGTGCGGCTCCAGAGACAAATCTTGATCCTGAAACGAAAACCGACAATAACGCCACACCAAATAGTGAGTTTCACCATTCATTCACAATTTTATGCTTCTATAACCCACCCCTAATCCCTTTCAGATGCCGATCAACGCAAGTTTTATGTGGACACCAACTATGTAAACGTACCACGGTCCCAAATGGAGGTACAGACCTACATGAAAGATGGAATGATCGAGAACTGGGATCTATTCGAGAAGGTTATAGATTACGCCTATGCGAATGTCATTCAATCGGAGCCGGAATACCACCCAGTGCTCTTTTCAGAGGCATCCTGGAATGTGCGAAACAACAGAGAGAAACTAACCGAACTTATGTTCGAGAAATACAATGTTCCAGCTTTCTTTCTGGTGAAAAATGCTGTTCTGGCTGCGTTTTCCAGTGGCCGTGCTACAGCGTTGGTTGTGGACAGCGGCGCCACCCATACCTCTGCCGTGCCCGTACATGAGGGCTATGTGCTGTCCCAGGCGGTGGTGAAGTCCCCGCTGGGAGGCGACTTCTTATCGCGGCAGTGTCGTCAGCATCTGGAAAAGCACGGCATCGATCTGTCCCCCGTATACAAGATAGCCTCCAAGGATGTGGTTAAGGAGCGGGACAACGCCCGGTTTACTCTGCGAAAGCTTCCTGAAAACCTAACGCAATCGTGGCAAAACTACATGCTACAGTTGATGATGCAGGACTTTCAAATGAATGTCCTTCAGGTGCTGGAGAATCCCTATGACGAGAGGGTGGCTTCTCAGATCCCAACGGTCCACTACGAGTTTCCCAATGGCTATCACCAGGACTTTGGATCTGAGAGGTTTAAAATAGCCGAGAGTTTGTTTGATAACGCCATGCTGGGAGCTGGCCAACTGGCGTCCACCAGCGTCGGAATGTGCGATGCTGATGTGCGACTATCGCTCTTTGGTTCAGTGGTAGTTACTGGTAATTAACTACTTTATATATAGGCTATTTTCTTTTTTTAAAAAATATTTCGTTTAGGTGGCAATACCCTGCTGCAAGGCTTCCCTGAGCGCCTGAATCGCGATCTACAGCTGCGTGCTCCATCCAACACTCGTCTGAAAATGATATCGGCTAACGGAAGTGTAGAGCGAAGGTTTGGCGCCTGGATCGGTGGGTCCATTCTGGCTAGCATAGGCACCTTCCAACAAATGTGGATTTCATCGCAGGAGTACGAGGAAGCCGGCAAAAGCCAAGTGGAACGAAAGTGTCCATAAATGGCAGCTTCAACAATCGAATTCCAATTTTTAATTTTAAAGACGCAACTCCATGTAATTATATAAATGTGAACCTTTAAATGTCGCTAAATGTCTTATAAAAGTTATTTAAGGAATATGCGGCACATTTTTTAAGGAAACGTAGTTAAGCTACACATATATTTTTAATGCAATTCTGTGGCGGATGTTACAGTTTCACATTTGAACCGTGTTTTCACCGGCTGTTCTTTGTGCTCCGGCTCCAGTTCGTACGTAATGGAAATGGAGTGGACTTTGGGGGCTCGCTTTCGATGGAACTGTTTAAAAAATGGCGGCACGAATGGTCGTCGACGGTCTAGCGTCTCTTCGGTGATTTCGTGGCAAAGCTTTATGAAACGTCACATGGATCCAGACATTGTATTGTTGCAAACGCATTGCTGTTTGGAAACACAATATAATTAGTTTTTATCAATTATTTCATCTTTGAACAAACCTTGGCATTGAGAATGTCCTCTGACCAATCCTCCTTGGCAATGCGGTCCACGGCGTTGACTAGGATCTTCTTCACCTTGATTACGTTCTCGGCGAAAGTCTTCAAAACATCCTGTACATTGACACCCTCGCATCCCATGCGCCAGCAATCGTAGTCCGTGGCAATAGCCACCGATCCATAGAGTAACCCTGCCTCCTTGGCTAACACAACCTCCGGACAGGTGGTCATATTGATAAGGTCACCTCCCCACAGTCGGAACATGTTGCTCTCAGAGCGAGAGGAGAATCGTGGGCCCTCAATCGTCACAATGGTCCCTTTTTCGTGAGCTGGAATCTCTAGCTCTTTGGCTGCTTCAAGGAGAACGTTGCGGACTCGGTCACTGAAGGCCGGGTACATGGGCAGGTGGCAAACACCACGTGGACTATCCGAAGAGCCGTCGTAGAATGTTTGCAGTCGCTTTGTGGTGCGGTCGATGAAATCGTGAGGAACAACAAGGTTCCCCGGCTGGATTTCCTCGCGCAGGGAACCGCATGCGGTGGACACAATCAAATGGGTGCAGCCTACCTCGCGCAGAGCCCAGATATTAGCTCGATAATTCACATTTGAGGGCATGATGTCGTGTTTGCGACCATGTCGCGCCAGGAGAACACACTGAACTCCATTGATTTCGCCCTCAATAAGTGCATCTGAAGGATCACCATACGGAGTTTCCACTGGCCGTTCTGTGCGCTGTTCCAAAATATCAGGGTCATCCAAGCCGGAACCGCCAATAATGCCGATCTAAAACTTATATGGTTACATGTTGCTTCATTTTCGGGGGCTGTGAACTAACCTTGACTGGCAGGGGATCGAGATTGGTGTCTTTACATTTAATCGTAATCATGGCTAGCAACGGATTTTATTATTTCGAGCTGCTGCGGCGGAGGTCTGGAGCAGAGTAGAACTTTCCGCTGATAGCCCACTGATAACTGTGTGTCTACACAGTAGGGTGCAAAAACCGCAAAAGCTTCGGCATATATGGTCCTCCATCCCGTGGGTGGGAGAGGGAAGGATATTTGAGTATATTATCATTTTAATTGGATTTTAAAACGATAGTTTTTTGCTTTATTTAGTATTATGGTTTTAATAAGATTAAAAATGTAATGCCTAGTTTTCAAGAGAGCTTTAAATATTTTGTAGGGCGCTGAATTGTATCTCAAGCCGAGCCCCCTAATCAGTCTGCCAATCGAATACACTTTCCACCACCGTTTTTCAACACTACCTGGAAAAGAAGAAGACCGAATGTAAACAGCTGGACCTGTAACCCATGTGCCTTGGATTTTGATTCCGAAACGGAGAAGGTAGCAAAGATGTATAACCTTGGACAGGATCTACCATGCAACGATATGGACGACATCGAGGATCTGATATCCGCCGACGACGTCAAGCCTCGAGAACGCTATGAAAACAAAAAGAACGTTACAGTCCGCGCTAAGAAGCGCGTGCAGATCCGGCCAGAAGCCGAGGAGGAGGAAGAGCTTCCAAAACCAAAGCCGACAATCCACGAAAGCGTTATACCTGGAACACAGAAGGTTTTCGTAAAAACATGGGGCTGTGCCCACAACAATTCTGACTCGGAGTATATGGCGGGGCAACTGGCCGCCTATGGATACAAACTAAGCGGCAAGGAGGATGCGGATCTTTGGCTTCTCAACAGCTGCACTGTGAAAAATCCCTCAGAAGACACCTTCCGTAATGAGATTGAGTCAGGAATGAAAAATGGAAAGCATGTCGTGGTTGCCGGCTGTGTTCCTCAAGGAGCTCCCAAGTCGGGTTACTTAAATGGGCTTTCCGTAATTGGTGTGCAGCAGATCGATCGTGTCGTGGAGGTTGTTGAGGAAACCCTTAAAGGGCACAGCGTTCGTTTGCTGCAAAACAAGAAGAAAGTTCACGGCCGCCGCGTAGCTGGAGCGCCACTATCCCTGCCAAAGGTGCGCAAGAATCCTCTGATCGAGATCATTTCTATTAACTCTGGCTGTCTGAATCAATGTACATACTGCAAAACCAAGCACGCCCGTGGTGATCTGGCCAGTTATCCACCTGAGGAGGTGGTGGAGCGAGCGCGTCAATCTTTTGCTGAGGGCTGTTGCGAAATTTGGCTCACGTCGGAGGATACGGGGGCCTACGGTCGGGACATAGACAGCTCCCTGCCTGAACTACTCTGGAAACTGGTGGAGGTGATCCCGGAGCACTGTATGCTTCGTGTGGGCATGACGAATCCCCCATACATATTGGAACACCTCGAAGAAGTCGCCAAGGTATTGCAGCACCCCCGAGTGTACTCATTTTTGCATGTGCCTGTGCAGGTAAGGATTACTTTCATCCAATTCTATGTCATTTTAAGTAACCCTGATCTTTGCAGAGCGGCAGCGACTCGGTTCTGGGTGAAATGAAGCGGGAATACTGTCGCAAGGACTTTGAGCACGTAGTGGACTTCTTGAGGGAGCGAGTACCTGGAGTCACTATAGCTACAGACATAATTTGTGGATTTCCCACCGAAACCGAAGAAGATTTCGAAGAAACAATGACTCTGTGTGCGAAGTACCGATTCCCGAGCCTATTTATAAACCAATTCTTTCCTCGCCCAGGCACGCCGGCTGCCAAAATGGAACGCATACCGGCTAACCTGGTCAAGAAGCGCACTAAACGCCTTACCGATCTCTTCTATAGCTACGACGCATACTCAGGTCGTGAAGGCCAGATATATACGGTTCTGGTCACGGAAATATCCCATGATAAGCTGCACTATGTGGGTCACAACAAGAGCTACGAACAGGTACTGCTCCCCATGCGAGAGAATCTCTTGGGCACACGCGTCCGTGTGCGCATCACCAGCGCCAGCAAGTTCAGCATGGTGGGCGAGATTCTGGATGATGAGCAGGATTGGACGAGATGTGCCAATAAGCAGGAAGAAAAAGATGCGTCAAAGACAGAGGGTCTTGTGACCAGAAGAAACGACAACGTTCTCCATCGCTTTATGTTCATCGCGTTGGTAGTTGGAAGTCTTGGCTTCCTGCTGCAGCTGCTCGTTCGGTTTTTTTATCCTCTCAAATAAAACATCACTTGTTTCCGAATTCATAATTTAAGTAACGCTTTGAACTTAGCCTAGTATACATTAGAAACTTGTTGGTTCTCCAAATTGGTGTGGATGTGGCTCGGAGGAACTCCTTAGTAGTCGTCGGAGGGCTCCGTGCCGAAGTAACGATCGCCAAAGTTACCAATGCCGGGTATAACATAAAACTTACTATTAATCTCCGGGTCCAGAGCGGAAGTAACAATTTTCACCTGTCGGGAACAGAGAAGCGTTATAAATGATTTCCTAAAATCTTGGTTACCATCTTGATTACCTTTGGGAAGGCGTAGGCAATGGAGTGCACACCGATCTCGGCCATCAGAAGCGAGGCCAGGATGATATTCTCCTCGGGCACATCATGATCCAGTAGCACCCGGATGGCCATCATGGCCGCTGCACCAGTGGCCACGGTGGCGTCCATCAGTATCACCTTGTAGTCTTTTATGTCTTTGGGCAGCCTCAGGTAGTAGAGCTCTGGCTCGCCGGTCTTCAAATTGGTTTGAATAAGGATTTTCCCAATACGAATATCCTTGCACACATCGCAGACGGCCTGCTCCATGGTTTCACCAGCTCGGAGAATGGAAACGCCACATATCTTGCGGGATTCCATGCGCTTGCCTTCGTACAGGACACCTTGGGGCGTCTCCACTGTGGTGGTTTTAAACGGGAACAGACTCAGTGCATACTCTATAACTAGCCGGATCAGGCGTTTCGAGTAAAAGATAAACTCATCCCGGGATGTGTTTCGGCAGCGAATGAACGTGTGCAGGCCCTTGATTTGGGGCGTAGGATGCAACAGGTGCAGAGAATGTGGCATAGGCTGGTCCTTGTAGGAGTTGGCCAGAGTTTCGCGCAGCTTGAAGCCTCGCTGTAAAATAAAAAATAAAAATTAGATTCAGACTTGACCTGAGAGGAGATACTTACCAGTTGGAGCTGTGTGTGGACGTGCTGGACGATGAGATGGATGGCCACCTTGTTCTCCCCGCCCCTGGGCACAATAATGTCCGCATGGGCCATGGTGGGGGCTATGTAATTGGCATATGAGGGCTTTACCATGTTCAAGTACTGTTTTAAAACGCCCTTCAGGTCTCGTCCGCGCTGTGAGATATCCCTAAAATATTAAAAATAAATTATTTTCTTCATAAAAATGAAACCTCTTCAAAGAGCCACCTTTTTAACCGCCTGGCTAGGCGAATATCTGGATCTGTATCCACAAAGATTTTCATATCCAGAAGCTTGAGCACCTCGGGACTGTGAAAAGTCAGAATGCCCTCGAAGATAATAACATTTGCTCCGTACATAGTCTTTGTTTGACTTTCCCGGCCGTGTGTCACAAAATTGTAAACTGGCACCTCCACTTTGCGGCCCTCCTTCAGTTTGGTGAGCACATCCAGCAGCAGTTCGATGTCAAAGGCATCTGGGTGATCGAAGTTGTACTCGTTGCTCAGGGCCTGTTCGTGCTGCTTCTCATTCAGGATCTGAAGGATATTAATAGGAAATATTATAAATAGATCCTAGGTGAAGAGTGATTACCGACCTTGTAGAAACAGTCCATGGACAGCAGGGTAACCCATGGCACGTCCAGACTTTCAATAATTTTCTCAGCCACTGTGGTTTTACCAGAAGCGCTGCCTCCGCAGATTCCTAAATAAACAAAATAACTTAGATTTAAAGGATTCTGCTCTTTTTAAAGAATACTAACCTATAACAAAGGGTTCCACCTGTTGCCCTGCACAGTTATACCATGGAGGACGTCCGGCCGTATAGATCGTGCGATTATTTGCTCGGATAATGCACTCGGACGGATTGGCGGTGGTAGTCTGGTTTCCTATAGAGGTGGTGCGCTGTCGCCGGCCGGACCGTTTCAGTGGCGATTCCAGGGACGCTTTCGCAGGCACTGTGGTGGGCGAGGCAGGGCAGCAGTTGCTGCTGCCCAGCTCGGCATAGGGATCCACATACAGCTGTTCCGTGACATCCGAGCGATCATCGCTGCAAGTAGAAATATAAGATTAGTTGGCAAGATTGGCGGTAACAAGATATGGCCAGTTCTACGCCCCCATCCATCAGCAGTGACGTATACTTATATTATATATTGGGAATTGGGTTGTGTTAGCCACGATAACGTTTTATCACCAAGCATTGATTACTTTCGCAATAATTTTGTGCCATCTATTAAACTATTAATATATATATATATTTGATTTCTTTGGTAGTTACATTGTGTACAGGGATACTACATGGCTACGCAAGCTTAAAGCTGTAAATTCAAGGTTGCAGTATACCACACTGACCTACTCTACTTTTAAACCAAGCCACCCACCCCCAACCCAACCCACTCGAATCCCGATACTGGCCACGCAGAATTAATCAGATGCTCAATACGGGTCTATTTATAGAACTATTACTCATTGAATTCCTTAATTAAACTCAATAGAAGATAACATTGCTAATCTCGAGGGTCAATTGTTTTACGGATTGGATTGAGAACAGATAAAGATAATGGTTTATTTTATAGTCGATTACTTCAATATTGAGGTCTGTGGTGAAAGTTGACGATAAGCTTGATAATTTAAGACAGGCATGTTTTTTTTAAGTTTTTAAATATTTCTATGAAATATATTGGTGCACCCTACTAAAATTTTAGAGCACATTTAATATTTGCATATGTGTGGGGGGGGGCTTATGATTACATTTGGGTATTTCCGGCATGTGCGTTGCAGATTGCTGACGTGACCTCATGACTTGGAGTGGCCAAAAAAGAGTTTCCGTCTGTATTTGGCCAACATGAAATATTTGAAACAATAAACGTGTCCCACATACACTTAATACATGCAAAAACATTATTTATATATTTAGGTACGTAGACTATGAAGAAGCAGACGACTATCCATCTTTTGTGGATACATCTGAGGATGCTGCGTAGGCGCGTTCGTTGCACTCTCTTCTCTTTTCCTTTTCTTTATTTTTATCTTTGCTTCTTTCTTTTGTATCTTTTACATTACTGTGCCAAAACGAAACAGAGCATACATATTCATACTCTTTAAAAGGGGGATATTAAGTTTAAGTATGAAATATTAAAAAAAAGCTTCTTTTTAAAGATAAGAACTAGTACCATAAATAACATAATTTAGTGACAATTTAATAATAATTGTAAAGGGTATTTAAAAATCGGATACAGCTTCTATTCAAACACTTTGCATAGTAATATGGAAGAGTAAAAGAAAGATGTTGGGAGAGAGAGCATCTGCCACGTGTGCAAGAGAGGATGCAGATACAACAGGTAACTCGAAGCCTGGTCCAGGCAGAGTGACAAGGACAACAGGATATCTGGGGTGTGGAGCAGGATGGCAACCCACCACCACCACCCACCGTGGATAGACGTGGCTCGATCGCCTCGATGTGGCCATGTTGGCGAGTTCATGGGGAGGCCAGAAGTGGAGAATTTGGAGCGCATTTGCTGACGCTATCTTTTCGTTATTTGTTGTTATTTGCCGCAACGCAGACACAACTCGATAAACAATGTTAACAAAAAGGTCGAAAATGAGCGTTAATTAAACAGTGAAAATACGACAGACAGACATACGAGTACTCTACAAACAACAGCAAAACAATTAGAATGGCGGTAAATGGCAACAACAAAACACACAGCTCACACACACTCACACAGAAACACACAGATACTTATGTATTATGGGTTTTGGGTACGAATTTTTGGTTTTACTTTAAAAAAAAAGTGAAGAAAATGCAATGAATTACATGTGACCATTGGTTTTGGCTGCAATAGCCTTAACCTTTGACTGCAGTTGTTGTTGTTGCTGTTGCTGATGATGCTGTTGCTGTTGTTGTTGTTGTTGATGGTTCGCGATAGTTAGTAAACCGGCGGATGCGGATGCAAAGGCTGATGATTTGCCCTTTTGGACATCGCCATTGTTGTGATTTTGGCTCGTCTTGCTGCACAAAAACGTGATGCTGCTCATTTTAGTCGGATGATATGAGAAGAAGGGGGTCCCGGTGTGGGCGGGCGTGAGAACGTATGTATATGTAGCAAGTCTGTCGATGTCGGCGCCGGCGTTGCCAAAATGGGTCACACTCTTCTTTGCACTGTAGCAGCACACATGGGCCGCCGGCGTGGATCACATGTGATTTAGAGCTTTTATTCCTTGGCCGTTTCGTTTCGTTTTGCGTTGCGGGCAATATTTATTCGATATCTAATAAAAGGCAAGAGCGGAGGTGTGTAAGGTGAGCGACTGACTGACAAAAAATGGTTTAAAAACTGCGATGCCGACGTCCGCTGTCGATTGTTGTTTGCGTCTGTAACTGTTCTCGCAGGGGGTTCGGTTCGGCTGCTCTCTTTCACTCTACCTTTCTCGCTACGCCTCCGTCTCTGTCTTTATCTTCTCCCGTCTCGTTTCAACTGCAGCTACCGGCGACTATTGAAATTCAATTTTTATGAAAGTTTGACTGTATTTGTGTGTTTGCCCAGGTGAACCCTATGCCATTTTCCTCGCATTTATTTTTATTGCGTGTTTGATGAATGAGCTCTCCAAGCACATGCCACCGAAAGCGTGCGTGTGCGTGTGCGTTTTGCGAGTGTGTGCTTGTATGTATGGATGTGTCTGTATCACATTCTAATGACTTTTTTGTCGGATTTTCACACTTTGCGTTGCCTGCCGTGCGTAAATAAATGCCGCATTAAAAAGCGTTTCGTTACCTGTCGGAGCTGGCGGAACTCGATGGATTGTAGAATTTGATTTGTTTTGTCTGCGCAGCACACATTATTGCAGCCAATTGCAGCGATTGGAAAAGAAAAACACGCGGTGATTTACTTCAACGTGCCTCTCCCTCTCGCAAGTGACTGAACATTGGAAAAACGTGCGCGCTCGCATCTGCCTCCGCCATTCATATGTATTTGTATATATGTTTGGCGTCATGTGCGATGGCGGCCAATTATGGTTTTCTAACTGCTATCTTGGCGAGCACATCCCGTCAGATCATAAATTTTTTATTTATCTCCGTTTGATGCTGTCATTTGGCAATTATTCGAATGCCTGGGGTCGCAGGGGAGCGCTTGTTCTAAGCCTAAAAAAGCTTACCCGCCAACGCCTGGTCACTCTTTTTGACCCCCAAATTATTTTGAAAATTAGAAGAGAAACAAAAGACTGCGACGAACATTTCTGTAATTTAGGCAACACCCTGGTATCGCAAACCAAGGTTAAATATCAAATGTTTCATCTTACCCTGGTAAATTTTTTGGAAATCCCCGTAATTAGCAACGTATGTTTAAAAACGGCGGCAAAATTTCTCTTAAGTGTGACCGTCTGCTCTATACATAAAATTCCAAGTTTATGTTCTAAAAAAAATTTAAATTGAAAAATGTTTTTATCTTCCATTCGTAAAATGTGTTAGTTGTGTTAGTTTGAACACATTTTATATTCCTTACAAAATCTGGTGAAAGATTTTATTTCTTTTCATAAAATGTATATATATGATATTCAAATGATCCTTGTTATTTAGAACATACATGTTTTGAATTAAAAAGTAGTTCTTCATAATTTTTTTTTCTTTTAATTTGTGGTTTTTTTAAGTACTTAAATATTTAGCCGTTAATAAAAATGATTTGAAAAATATTTATAAACAAAGGATTATATTTACAACACATGGCAACCCTACAAGATAGGAAGAACAAGAGGACGCAACAATATCCATATAACTAGTGGTCGGCAACCCTGGCCGTGGCCACAAACAATAAAAAAAACTCATACTTTGGCCGATCATTTTCCAGCGCAAATTGATAAAAATGCCTTAGGTGCTCGGATCGGGAGTTAGCAGAAGCCGCAGCAGGATGGCCTACATCAACATCGCCGAGTGGACGCCCGACCAGGTGACGGACTGGATCAGAGGTGCGTAGCGAGTGATAAACGATGAGCGAGGTCAAGGAGAAAAAAACTGCATCGCCGAGCCACTGCCCCAAAACCAGCAGAGGCAACAACAACGCCAACAACAAAGGGGCAGCAGCAACAAGCGAAACAAGAATTTCAGCTTTGCCAAAAAGATTTCTCCTGCATTTTTCGGCCGCCCTTTAATATATTTTCTTTGTTGTTGCAGGTTTGGATGAGTCCATGAAACCATATTTGTACGAGTTTTCCAAACACGACATAGATGGCAAGGCCCTGCTTAATATCCGGCCGTATGAGCTGGAAAATCTGGGAATGCGGAGAATAGGCCATCAGGAGATCGTACTGGAGGCAGTGGAGAACCTAAGGAATTTCGTAAGTCTACCCCAGGCTAGCTGCCTACTGGATAAAAATATTAAAACATAACCCGTGATTCCACTTGCAGCATTATCACCTAAAAAACGACAATCTACAGTTCATGGCAATGCATGTGGGCACGGCTGCCAGGAATCTGCATCGAGAGTTGGCCAAAAATCATGCTGACAGCACCAAGATAGATACGAGGATACTGCACGATATTACCAGGATGATAGCCACTCTGAAGCCTTTGGTTAGCAGCCTGGAACGGGCACCGTTTCGCAAGCAAGAAATGTATCGTGAGTACTGCGGCAACGTGCTGAAATTCGGCCTGGAGCTAGCAACCATTGCGCATCGGGATAGGTTTGCTCTTTATCCAGTACCTGCGATTCGGACCTCAGCGGAACGGCTTGAAAGGCTGGCCAACTTTATAATCCAGGATATTTCTGATCCCATGGTGCTGCAGCCCGCCTCTCTGAGCTTGGTGACCCTCAAAAAGGTCACCCGCGAATCGGAGCTAGGATTTACCATAGAGTCCAGCTATAATGGCATTCATCGTGTGACTGATAACAAGTACAACTCGCCAGCTCACAATTCGAGCAAAATCGAGGATGGTGACGAAATTGTGCAGATCAACTATCAGACTGTGGTCGGCTGGCAGCACCGAACGGTGCTGGAGCATCTGAGGGAAGCCCTACCAGATGTGGTGCTAACTGTCAAGAAGCGGCCAAAGCACACCAAGATGTTCGGTCAAATCTACATGCAACCTTACCGGCTACCCAGCAAAAAGCGAAACATGGCCAGTCGCTGGGCGGATCAAATGCACAGCCCAAGGGCTGCCTTTTTAACGCTGGACTCCGAGCGAGCGGCAACGGGTGGCATTGGAAGCTCCGTGCCGGAGTCTGGCAAGTCCCTGAGCATCGAAAAGAACGAGAATCTGGTCAAGGCCAAGCCAGTGGTGGAGTCCTCCTCCTCGGATTCGGACTCTAGTTGTAGTGATATTCCCACACCCACAGATCCAAAGTCGGCGGCCCGGGAGATCCGTTTGTATTATCCCAAGCCGAGGGCCCTGCTCCAGCGTAGAAACACCATTTGCGGCGATGAGTTTCTCAGCTTGAAACACTCGGATTTGGTGGTTCCGTCGTGGCACGAAAGGAAACCAGGTGTTGGCTCTTCGGCTGTCTGTGATCCAGGGTCGCCTAGCATTCGCGACAAGTCGATATCCTTCGGTTACGGTCTGGAGATAGCACCCAGACCCACAACCTGCATTGGTATTGCATGTGATAGCTCTACGGACAAGGTCAAGCGAATGTTCCACGAGGCCAGGAAGCTGAAGCAGTTGACCGAGGAATCGCAGCGCGAGGTCCTGGAGGACCGGTACAAGCCGGGCGTCAGCAAGGTGGTCCGTTTCGACGCCAATATGAAGGTGGAGGATTATGTGGTGAAGAACGAGAAGTTTACGTGCAACGTGGAAAACACAATACTTGAAACCTTCGAGCCAATACCCTTTGCGGACGAGGGCGACGAGGATGCCCTGGAGACGCTGCGAAACTGCAAGACCGAGAACGCCGAGGAGCTGCTGGAGGCCATTGACCAGGCGACTCGCGGCCAGGAGTTGCCTTTGGCAGAGGCCATAAATGTGCCACTGGTGTTACAGGGACGTCGTGGACGATTGGACAAAAGCCATAGCACACCAGCCTACGACAATTCTGGAGAGGAATCGGATACTCCGCCGGCGATTGAGCCGCGCAAAGAATTCCTTTTGGTAACACCACCAGCGCCGCCACCACGACCTCGAAAGCAGCGAGAGATGACGCCTCCATCAGTGCCACCACCGCCACCAAAGCCTGCCAGTATGCAGGCTGCCAGTAGCACCACCAGCATTTCTATTCCCGTGCCTGTTTCAGTGCCAGTTCCCGTTCAAGCGGCTGGAGATTCGTCCGAGATCAGTGAGTTGCACACGCCCACTAAATCGCGAACTTTGACCCTGAAGAAGAAGCACAGCCTTATGGCCAAGCGAAGGAACATGAACCTGAAGCTCCTGGGCACCGGCGACATTCAAGGTTACCTGTACCGGCGCACAAAAAACCACAACGGAGTCACGTACTGGGCACGGATATACTTTGTGATGCTGGACACCATTCTCTACGGGTTTCGCAAGAAGGAGAGCTCCACAGCCAGTCTGGTTATTTTCCTACCGGGATTCACGGTGTCACTGGCCAAGGAGGTGCACTCCAAGCCGCACGCCTTCAAGGTCTACCATACGGCCAAGTGCTTTTACTTTGCCGCCGAGTCGCTGAATGCCCTTAACCAGTGGGTGGACTTGTTGCGCCAGGCTTCGCTTAAAGTGTCTGCCAGTTCCGGAATCGGAGGAGTCAGCAACGGGGCAAGGGATCTGTATTCGGAGGACGACAGTTCGGGGGAGGAGAACGATGCCCTGGTGGCCAAGAACCTGAGTACTCCATCGCCGCAGGCTAATAAGGAGGCAGTGTCCATGTCCTCGCTCACCCTGCCAGGCGGAACACCTCCCTCCTCGGGAAGCACCAAGCATGAGAGAGGATACTTTGGGTACTTGATGGATAGGATGGGTACTTTCAAGAGTAGTGCAGCGAAGCCTTCGAGCGACATCCCCGTGCCAACGGAACAGTATCGCAGCTACAGAAAGGTGCCGGGCGGCAGTTTTGGCATCCAGATTGGAGCCAACACCCCGGGCTATCACGATCCAGCTCAGCCACCCACCCAGATCGCTCCGCCAGTGGCTCCCAAGCTGTCGCGCAGTTCCAGCCGAAGTTCCGTGGTTAGTGGCACAGAATCGGCCATATCTGTATCGGCATCGATATTAGGACCGCCCACCTCACCAGCTCCCACGCCAACGGCAACACCAACTTCGTTGCAGCACCAGAGCTCCGAGGAGAGTCCTAGCCAGAGCCAGAGTCAGAGTCCAAGCAGCAAGTCCAGTCTGAAGAAGGTTCCGTATAACTTTCTGCATGCCTCTAATCCGAATTTGGTGGAGTTCGATTTCCACACCTCGAAAACACTGCTGCCCAAGATGAGTGTGGGCACAACCTTGGATCATGGCCACAACACCCAGGGCTTCGTAACCCTCAAGGACTTGATGCTGCGCAAACAGGAGGAGGAGGCCCAGGAGATGTACAACAACAGGGTTCACCTGGGAGTGGAGAAGCACAAGCATTCGCGGACTGAATCGACGGCCAGTCAGCAGAGCTCCGCCAGCATGAGTGTTGCGAAGCCGCTGGAGAAGCTGCCCAAGATCCAAAGTGTCAGTCTGCCCAAGACGCCCGACTACGAGATCAGCTTCAAGCCAGACGACGAGAGTATAAAGAGGACGCGGACCAAGGAGGGCCAGAAGCTGCGTGATTTCGGCTACGAGCTGATCTGCGGCGACGAGCCAAGCTCCAGTTCGAGTAGTAGGCAGGAGCAGCTGCATCACTACAATCAGCAGCACCAGCAGCAGTCGCAGCACCACCATCAGCCGCAGAGCAGCAAGACCAAGCAGTTTCTGCGCTCCCAGCAGCAGCAGCTCTCCAGTTTCCTGCACAAGAGCAGTGGCGACCAGAAGAAAAACAAAGGAAAGTCGAGCAGCGATCGTCGTTTCTTCTCGAAGCATTCATCTGGATCCACCGGCAGTTCGCCAGGGCATGCGATGACTATGACGCTGCCGCTGAATAAGAAATCGAAATCGAATCACGCCTTGGACGGCGGCGGAAGTGGAGGAGGCGCTGGCACTGGCAGTGGGACTAGCATCAAGAAGAGTCAGACGTACAATCAGGACTTGCGGGATAAGATAGCGGGAACCAAATACGATGCCCATCGCAAGAACTCAGCTCCGATACCGATCTTCTCGAAGCTCTCCATTCCGAGCGGCACGCCGGCGAAGCCCTCTAAGGAGAACCGCTTTCTGGGATCACCGCTGCTGCACCGGACGCTCTTTGGACACCATCATCATCAACAGCACCACCACCAGCAGTCGTATCCGGTGCAGCCGACGACGCCAACCAGCATTGCGGATCTGGATGGAGACCAGGAGATCTTCTCGCAAATCACTTTGCCCACCCACAATCAAGCGGGCTACAGAAGCTACCGGGGTCCCGGCATGATGACCACATCAACGACTAACCTTTGCTCTTCGGAGGCACTGCAGCCGCCATTACCGCCGGCGCCACCGCCTCCCATACGGCAAAGGGAGGAAGAGCCCAAATCAGAGGCGGTGGCAGCCGAAGCAGCCGCATCGGAGAGTGCTGCAACCCCCAGGGTTTCCAACTCGGGATCATTGGACTCTAAAGCGGCCACACCGGACTATCCGAATATGGAGTGTCCGCCGGTTTTTGAACCGGAGATATACTCGCTCAGCGAACCAAACACCAGCTTGTCGCGGCTTATGCTGCGTACAACAAGCAACAATAATAATAACAACAACAACAACACCACAACCACAACAACAACAACAACAAACACCAACAACAGCAGTCCCAGTGGCGGCGAACATCAGACCTAGGTGTGTGATGGAAACTACTGTGAATGCTCTATTACTTATGTATTTACTTATACGCATATAGATAATATATATATATATATACATATATTATATATTGCGATATATACTCGTATGATATAGGTATACAATTTGTTCATTTTGATCGTCTTCCCTATCCTGAAACACCAGCGCAATCCTTTCAAATCGATCCCCTAATTAGATGTAAATGTTTAATGTCTTATTTGCATTATTTTGGTTTTTAGGTAAAAAGTTTTAAATAACACACATATGTATTCACGCGTACAACAACAAAAAAAAAACAAAAAAACAATGAAATATAGCAAAAAGAAATTATAAATCTTTAAGCATTAACTGAGAAGTCTGTGCATCGAAGAGAAAATAGTTCTTTATGATTTGCCTTTGTAATGGGATTAACCAAGTTAATCCGAGCTGTTTGATTTGCTCAACAGTTTGTGTCTAGATTATATGTATTATATTATGAAAATCGAGATATTACTGTAGTGTGAGGTTACCACTGATGGCAATGGAACCACGAAAACGTTGTAGCGAAAATAAAATATATATATATATATATACACAGTACACGAAATATACATGCATACGAATAAAGTCAACTGTATATAAAGAAGGAAGCTATTTTAATTGAAGAAAAATATGGGAAACAGGTTGGTATCCAGCATTTCCAATAAAAAAGTACCTTTTATACCCTCTCTCAGATCGATTTAGAATCCATTTATTCACATGTACGTTTCAAATTAACCAATTAAAAGTATTTACGCTTTTACGCCAAATCGCTGATGTACTTTTCCACCTCGTCCTTTTTTAACATCTTGAACTTATCTGCGGGGGTCATGGTCATAACCTCGACGTTAGTAGAGTTCAGTTTCTCCTCCATAACCTGCTTCAGCGTCTTAAGCGACAGGTTAATGGCGTCCTTCAGTGTTATCTGCGAGTGATATTCATCCTGTAGGTTCTGTTGAGCGCCCTCGCTGCCAGATCCTATGGCTTTAGCCGAGTGACGCACAAAGGTGCCGGATGGGTCCATGTGCCAAAGCTGCGGCTGCCCATCCTCAATGCCGGCAAATAGAATGGCCACTCCAAACGGACGGCTCATGGCAGCTCCATCGCTTTCTCCACTGTCACCAAACTGGATGGCCAGTGTAGACACAGCCTGGGCACAGGATTCGATGGACATGCGCTCGTCGTAGACAAACCAGTGGTTCTGGCACTCGACACGGGCACGCTCGATCAAAGTACGGGCATCGGCCATTAGTCCAGAAGTGGCGCATCCAATATGCTTGTCCACTTCAACAATCTTCTCCACTGTGCTAGGGACCATGAGCGGCGATGTGATGCGTTTCTCCACGGCCAAAACCACGCCTGTTGAACAAAAACATTAATTTGAGGATTCACAATGTGTAAATAATCACAAACCCTCTGGTGTGCATATTCCAATGGCAGTAGATCCCAATTTGATGGCTTCAATGGCGTACTCCACCTGGAAGAGACGTCCCTCTGGCGAGAAGGTGTTTACACCTCTATCGTACTCGGAGCGGGTCAGAAACATGTTTCTCTGCAATATGGGTGTAATTGTTTACTGTTCGATTTGAAATAACACACTTAGAATGCTTACTTTATTCTATTTTGCTCAATAAAGCTCAACGTATAAATAAATGACAGTGACTTGACGCCGGAATGACTTTGCGGATAAAACAATGTGACCACACTAGGATTAGTGATAATATGTCGAAATGCGAATATATCGATATACTTTGTTTAAAAATTATATTTATATTATTTCCGTAAAATCAATAATAATATTTATTTATTTGAAACTTAATTATGTAATTAACTTTATGATAGCTTAACACCGATTTTTATTGTTTAGGTTCTTGACATCAGTTCATTTAAAAAAAAATAATCGCCTATCGGTATTGCTTTGGAGGGAAATTCAAACTTTCCCTTTTAGTTTCCTCTTTCCGAGGTACTCACGATTTTAAGATTAGACATATATTAATTTATTGACACAAAAATATCTAAAAAACTCGATATATTTTAAAATAATAAGCTTTTCTGAGCAATAGACAATTGTATCCAACAACAGGTCTGCCATAGCGTTTACAACTCGGTTAACAGTATGTTAACAGCGCTGTAACGGTCTAGGAGGGAAAATTTGAAATTTAGCAAAGTGGCAAATATTACACCATCAAACCGCAATTAGTGGGTACTTGATGGGTAATTGTAATTGTAATTGCAGCGACTGATGTTTCAAAATACCCAGCAATTTGGCTATGCGCTACGATTACTGCCCCCCCGCGAAAACGAGGCCATTGCGCACTTGAAGTGTGGCGGTTTTTATGTTTTTCCCCCGTGTCTCTTTGGCGGCAATTCCGCTTCACTAACGAATTAAAAACGATGTAGTACATAGTTAATACAATTAGGCATTATAAATATTAGGCTTTAGTTGAAGATATTTTTAAGCTTTCAAATATTTGTTAAAGATTTGTATGATTGCTAATTTTAGTTGGCCCAATTTTTTTACGTGCAGACATCAATTTTGTTGGCAATCTATGAATTTGTTTTCCCCCTGTCTGCTATTTTTTAACCATTATGACAGGCCCCAGCGTAATTGCGAAAAAGTTGCCAAGTTTCAACGAGTGTTGGCGAGTGCTTCCTGCAATTAATTTGGCAGTCCGATGATGTAATCAGCGATCGGATCGCAATGCTCCTTGCATAATGAACTGGCCACAAGAATACACAACTAGACTAGCGTTAGTGGTAACTGGTTTTCTTTCATTTTCATTTTCTCATTTTCCTCACTGCCAACAGTGGTGTTACGTGATTCGTAGAGGTTTCGGCCATGGCTGGCTGGTTAATTTTCACTTTCACTTCCCAGACAGAAACCCAGAAACCCATTAATTTGCGCCTGGTTTTCGGTGTGTCTTTAGCTTATAATTTAAATAGAAATCATAGAGTCTAACACAATGATAAAAGTACTAACACATTTGGCTTAAAACTGATGCGGAAGTCCATAGGGAGACTTCCGCCAGATCTCGATGTTGGGAGTAGCTAGTTAGTTTGTCCTCTTACAGGCTACTCCCCGCTGGTTCTCCCTCTTCTGCTCTGGCTCCTCTTCTTCTCCTTCTCTACTTCCTTCTTTACATCCTTCTTTATCATCTTCCCCCGCTCGTGTCACCCGTTCAACGTCCAGCTCAACGTTGCTGCGTGGATGCATCTGAGAGATACAGATGGACTTGCTGTTAGTGTCTCGCTTCCTGCTTCTCGTACTCCTTCCTGTTCGTTCTTCTCCTCCTTTACCATCTTCTTCTTTTCTTGTGCTCGCTTTCTGTGCTTGATCTTGCTTTGGGCATCTTTCTGGCGATCTTTAGTAGTGACCACTGTGGCTGTGGTAATCGTGGTGATCCTCATGGTGGTGTTCGTGGTGCTTGAAGATCGGCACCTCGACGTGGTACTTCTCCGGCACTGGGATCTCCTTGTGAATGGGCACCTTCACCTCCGAGTAGACGGGGATGGGCTTCTCGATGGGAACCTTAACCTCATAGGGCACGGGCTTCTCGACGGTGTAGGGAACCTTCTTTTCGACGGTGTAGGGCTGTGGCACGGGCACCTTAATATGGACGGGGTAGGGTTTCTCAACCTGGTCAAGAAAGATGGCAAGAGAAAAGGGGTTTGGATAAATAAATGGCGCCTGGGATAACCGTAGATCTAGACCACCATGCTTACCTCAACCTTGTAGGGCTTATCAACGGGCACTTTCACCTCGTAGGGCACCTTCTTCTCGACAACCACGGTGTAGGGCTTCTCCACCTCCACATCATAGGGCTTGGGTACCTCAACGTTATAGGGCTTCTCCACCTCGACCTTCACCTCATAGGGCACCTTCTTGATCACTTCGTAGGGCTTGGGAACAGGGACCTCAACCTTCACCTCAACGGGCACCTTCTTGATCACCTCGTAGGGCTGGGGCACTGGCACCTTGACCTCATAGGGGATCTTCTTGATGACCTCGTAGGGCTGGGGAACGGGCACTTTCACTTCGTAGGGCTTGTCGACCGGGACCTTCACCTCATAGGGCACCTTCTTGATCACCTCGTAGGGCTTGGGGACATGGACGGGTACTTTCACGTACTCCTTGACATGGACGGGAACCTTCTTCTCCACAATATAGGGCTGAGGCACATCCACTTTCACCTCATAAGGGATCTAAGGAAACGGTAGTTGAAGATGTTCTTGGTATGGGATTCTTTGAATCTAAAATTCTGATGAACTCTCACCTTCTTCTCGACGGTGTAGGGGACGTGCTTGGTGACGGTGTAGGGTACTGGTACCTTCTTCTCAATGGTCACCGTCTTGATGTGCTCGTGATGGGGCTGATAGTGGTGATAGTCGCCCAGGTGGAGACCCCGCTTCTCCACGGTCTTGCCATCGCCCTCGGCCTTGTTGGCCTCCTCGCCAGCTACAGCCCCACAGTGGGCCAATGCCACGCACACGGCGAGACAAGGAAGTACGAACTGGAATGAGGGATACGTTTCACATCACTCTGATTCACACAGCACTCTGGATTGAATATCCTTCGGATATATGGATATATGACAGTTTACCATTCGCATTGTTGAGCTGCTGATTCGACGTCTCACGGGGGAACAATTACTCCACGATTCGCTGTACTGCACGGGTAACGAGATCCAAGCTGGGACTGAATCGCTGTGCCACTGCACTCGGCTTATATACACCAAAAAATTGGACTGTCTTGGTCTTTCTATATATCTCGCAACGCGGCGACGCATTCGCAACTCTTTTCGGTTGCCTTTCGGTTCGGCTTAGTAATGAAAAGTCAGCTGGGGGAACGGTGTTATATGAAAACTTGTTTCGGTTTCGGTTTCCATCTGTCGAGGGGGGGAAATGGATATAGATAGATATATCTGTAGTAAGGAGCCTCGGCTATAGAGAGAGAGAGAAACCAGGTCGTTATCCTACAAACAATAGCTAGGAAGTGGAAATCTCTGTGATACACAAACCCACATATTTACTAACAAATCAGCGGCTCTTTGATTTTTGAGCCGTGGATTATTTTGGCCAAAATGGCCAAGACGATGCTTCCGTTTTTATTGGACCCACACCTGGCGATATATGATATCTCATATACCATCTCATATATATAAATATTTTTGATTTGAGTGGCTGGGATTATGCAAATGCAGTCGGCTATTGACATCAAATGGCTGAAGTGGCTGAAATGGCGTTGCAAAGCCAAAAACAGAAACCCCTCTGTGTGGTAAGTGGCAGAGACAATAAGAAGGTTAAACCTTACAGCACAATGCGTTTTTGGTTATTTGATATATTTCATCTTACAATATGTATTTGATCTCTTGGCTTATTCGGTTTTATGGGGTCATCTCGACTCTCGGCGAGTGGAACCTCAAAAGCTAGATACCGACAACTATACTGAATATTTATGATGGATTTTACAAATATCTAAACCTTACTAATAAGGATTAAATTTTTAATGATTATTAAGTTTCATATTTAGTGAGTGTTATGGTTTATGGATTTTACCTCGAAGGTGGATTAAATTTAGATTTTTAAAGAAAAGGTTACATTGAGGCCTGGTATGTTCCAATCCCCTTAAATATTATAATTTCTAAAAATCTTTAAATGTAATTATTTTCCTCAGTGACTTTAAGTTTGTTTTATTTTGGCATCATTGGGTTAGTAGCTTTGGGTCAATGTATATATTTTTTTTGCATTTTATTTTTAGTAAAGTCTAGGAGTCCAAGACACAACTGGCAATTTGGTGGCTCTTTTTTTGGTGGCGATCGGGGGAGCGTGATTATAGCCCCCCAGCGGCTGCCTGTGGGATCTCGCCGCGTGACTGACTGCCTGACTAGCTGGCTGGCTGGATGGATGTATCTAAGCCATGTATCTTGCGGATACTACCATGGTACATACAGATACAGTATGAAGTATTCGCGAGTAAGCATTATGTATGACTGGCTTACTGACTGAAAGACTGACTGACTGACTGACTGAATGCCTGGTTGCCTGGAATTTTGTGCAATCACTCGCAGTCATTAAATTGAAAACATACTTAGCTTCAAGTCGGCTATTTTAAAATCCATCGTGTGGCAATACCAACAATTCGACTAAACACATCGACTAAAACAAAGCCAGGTATTATTTTTCGCAAATGTAGCTTTGCTGGAAAACTGAAAAACCGAAAAACTCCAAAAACAAAGCGACAGACGCGGAAGACAAGGGGCTCGCCATATAGCATTTACATGCCCATTCTATTTCATAACAAAATTTTGGCTCCAATTTTGGGGGGTATTCGTTTTTTTTTCTTTTTGGTATACCTGCTAATTGCCCATTGTCCAGCTTAGCTCCTATATAGTAGTACCCCCCATTATAGCCAACTTTTACACTAATTTGTTACTGCAATTCTTCGCTGTGATTAACGGGCTTTCTGCCTGATTAACGGGTTCGCCAGCTATCCCTCTCTTTCCCCCCAGCTGTGCCTATCTCTTTCTGTAGACAGACTGCATTTGGTCAACGACCTTCACTTATTTGTTCGAGTGGCGTTTCTTCGCCCCTCCCCAGTCTTCGGAGTTCGCATCTTATGGCACACGTTCGCTTTATCTTTAAAAGAAGGGTAATGGCAACCTTGACCCAATCGTTACTTCTCTTGTTATCTGTCTGGGGTTAC